AGTTTTGTGAATAAAATTAAGTACTTGACGTTCATATACGGAAAAAATAGCTAAAAAAAGTAAAATACCGAGTAGTACCGAGTTTTTTATTTCTCGGTACAACTCGGTATTGTTAATTAAAATACGTACTGTTTTGTGTACTTCTTTAGAAAGTTATCAATTGTATTCCTCCTCTCTTCATTAAGTAATAATCTTCCTGGGTAATCCAAAAATTCCTTGGCCGCACGTTCTACATATTTGGAATCCTCAACATCAAAAATTGCAGTTTTTGGTTTTTCAGCTTGTGGAGCAGAAGGAGCAATTATCATAGCTTCATCATTAGGCGCAGAAGCTTTATTAGTATCAGTTAACTTCTCTTTCAGTCTTGTTGCAGCACGAGTGACTGGTTTTCTTCTAGTAATTGATGTTTCCTTCTTACTAACTATTTCAGCTTCATCATTAGCCAACTGAGCTTTCTTCTTCTTCCTATCACCTGCTGTGAATGGAGTTTTAACTCTTTTCCTTTTCCTGTCATTCCTCAGATGTACTCTTTGAGCAATTCCTCCAGTTCCTGATGAAGGGAAAGGAAATTCCTCATATTCTGATGTTTCCTTCTTACTAACTATTTCAGCTTCATCATTAGCCAACTGAGCTTTCTTCTTCTTCCTATCACCTGCTGTGAATGGAGTTTTAACTCTTTTTCTTTTCCTGTCATTCCTCCTATGTACTCTTTTAGCAATTCCTCCAGTTCCTGATGAAGGGAAAGTAAATTCCTCATCTTCTGATGTTTCCTTCTTACTAACTATTTCATCAACAATTTTCTCAACAGTTTTCGATACTTCATCAAAATTGTTTTCAGATTCCGTTCTTGAACTTGACTGAACCGAAGAACCGATTTTCTCAGACGTGAAATAGTGTGGAAAATGATAACTTAATATCTTATATATACCACAAAATTTTTCATTGTTATCAGATTTTAACTGAAATACTTCATTGTCCAATGCTTCCACCCGTTTTTGAAGCAGAATTTTGTCCATTTCGAGTGATGAAATTTTTTTGACCATATATTCATGCTGTGTAATAAGTTTATATATGGATTGATTGATAATCCTCAAATTTGTTTCATCAGGTTCACCACGTTGTGCATCACTTTCTTCTCTAAATTCTGTTCGTAAAGGAGAATCAATGGGACTTCGACAATCAGTGGGACTAACAATAGGAATTGTAGGATCAGTGTTCATTGGCTGTTCAATTGGACATTCAGTTTCCGTTGGAGTTTGAATAGGAGAAGCAGTTGGGCTTGGACTGGCTGGAGATGAAGTTGCTTGTAGAGATGGAGTTGGCTTACTACTAGACATATGTATACTTCTCAGTGGTGTAATATCCATACCATTTGCTGGATTACTACTCTGAATTAAAATTTTCTCATTATCTGTTATCTCTTGTAAATCTGTCAAGATCTGGATCAAATCTTTTATAAATATCCAAAACTTATAAGTACATAATAAATTTAAATGAGTGAAGATATGAATTGTACCTCAGAATTCTGAAGGCTTTTTAGTAAATTATCAACATCTTTAATTCTATAATTAAATTTTCCATCCCAACGAAGGAGACGGGGTCGAGCCAAATTATCCACTACTGGGTGGAACTTTGTATGCTCAAAAAATCAAATCTAAAACATAAAATTAAACAATATAAATCAGTGTATGAAATAAAGAACCAATTACAACAGTGAAATAAATAAAAACAATGTAATATGTGTAAGAATTACTCACAATTATAATCATAACAAATCCATTAATATATCCCAATGATTGACCTTTTGATTGTTTTTTTGCTATTGTATTAAATTCAATAACAAGAAAATCCCGAATGGATTGGGGCCAATTGTATGCTCTGAACTTGTCAACATTTTTTGCAACGTCCAATATTGTTGATTTTGGCCATTGGGAAGAAAATATTGGACAATAAGTACACAATAAATTGTTCCCTAATAATCTCGATAGGCGTTGAGGATTCCAATTTCAGAATATCATGCCTTATGTCATTTGCTGTTTTACCAGCAATTGTACCAGTCCCAGGTTCAAATTTAATACCTCTGTTTGGTAAGCCAATAATCAACGCTATTTCATCAGAAGTGAAAGTTAAAGTCCGGCTATTAATAACAAAACTTTCAGATTCGTTATCCCACGTTGACAATAACATATAAACAATAGGAACATTTTGTGGGAACCGAGGTAGTAATAGGAACTGATTAATTTGTAGCTCACTTAGGCTACTAACAAACTGATCCCCAAATTTCTCAACCAATTCATTACAAACTTCTCTAAATCCTGAAGTCCGACATCTGAAATGAATCTTGGGGGTATATCCCTGCATAATAAAGTGTAACAAACACTAAGAAAATAACAGTTTTACAGAGTTATTCCGTGAAAAACTACGTGAAATAAATAAGTGTAACAAATACTAAGAAAATACCGAGTTTTCTTAGTACCGAGTTTTCTTAGTACCGAGTACCGAGTACCGAGTACCAAGTTGTACCGAGTACCTAGTAACACGGTAGAACAGAACCCTAAACCCTAAATACACGTCGTTTAGGATTCTGTTCGATTTACTAAGGCAAACCTAACATGTCTACAAAATGTGTACCGAGTTTTATCAACTAGTAACGACGTTTACCGAGTTTAATCATCAAATACCGAGAAAATCGAACAAAATCTAGTACCGAATACCGATTAGTACCGAGTTTTAGAATGCGTACCGAGTTTTAAAAACAAGCAGAAATGTTTAACATATCCCTAAAACTCGGTACTGTTAGATTGCTAACGATATAAACAATATCAAAACAATGATACTTTTTTGGTAAATCGTTTCGAACCTCAGGCATTATATCAGCGACGGTTTTCGAATGGAGAATACGAAGAACTACGAGTTGAAATGCTGGAGAACTACGAAGGAGATGCTGGAGAACTCCGAAGGATTTGGTGGAAATCTAAAAAACAAAGTAAACAGTAACAGGGATTCGAATCTCCGTAAAAAGGTGAAGCGTCGCAATTCGAAGTGTTTGTGATGTTTTCCATTTAAAATTTAACACGTGCGATAACCCAAAATACAGCGGGTCGGGTCGGCGACTTTTCTTCATGCGACGTGGCGTCAAAACATTGGTGACCGAACATAGAGGAGCGTACGTTCACTGGACTAAATAATTGTTCCTAAAATCAATGCTTAAGAAATGCAATAAATAAAAAAAATTCTACAAAAATAGCAGATTTTACATCAAATGCCTACAGAATGCACGCATGCGAACAGGTGAAAAAAGAAAAAAAGTCTATATCAAATCAGTTCTGACATTTTGAAATAATTGAGGAGAATCTAACTTCAAGCAATTTAGTTCCACTGAACTCATTCACTATAGAAATGAAAAAACATATATAACCATATCTAGTCCAATAGTTCTATATAAGAAACTATCTGCGATGATCTGATTGAAGTAAAAGGAGAAGCTTCCAATATTCAATGGTACTCACATACATAAAACGACGAGCAGATTCATGATTCAAGCAAGCCAATGAAGTTGCTCAGCTTCTTCTTTTCCACTTCGATGCTTACTGCATAGGACCAGGAATCTTCATATTACAAATATTATCTGATAAGCAAATAAGCTAAATAAAGTCATATATTAATCGGAAAGATATCTTGAATCAAGTGAACATGACCACAAATCATCTCTTACAGCATTGAAGGAGCAATACAGAAAAAGATTGAATCTTAAGATTTGAGTTCGGAAAACCAAAAACACCGAAATCAGAAAATGTAATGCAAGCTTGATGGGGGAATACTAACACTCAACAAAAAGGAGAGAACTTTTTTTGGTGAGATTGGAACCTCCAACCTCTCCAAGGAGATTAGAGGCAATACCAATCAACGAAGAGGCTAGGGGTAAGTAACAAAGAGAAGAGAATAGCTTCACAGCTACAAAATAACATCTTCCCTTCTCTTCCTCCAGAATAAAAAAAGAAAAAGAAAGACGAATGAAAAAACCTAGAAACTTTTTCTCAAGTAAAGATCAATAAAAATTGATTTCTTAAAAAAAATCCTTCTTGTAGCATAAATTATTTTAAAAAGCATAAATCACAGCAACTGCCACACTACTTGGACAATGGATAATATATATTTTATAAGGGATTACAATCATCAGAAGAAAGAAGGATCTAGCGGACGACGACGCTCACCTGGGTATCTGGATCAGTGGAATACTGTAGCGCTGAGTAAAAGGAAGTCCTTTTTTGGTCTCCCAAAGAACGTCGAGAGCTTTGGAAAAACCGTCGATTTGGAGCACTGGAGCAGGAATCTCAATATTAGGAAGCGCCCAGCCTGCTAGACTGAGAGAGGAGGTGCAGCGCAGAGAGATAGATGTAGGCAGTAGAGGAGGGAGGGCCTTTTGTAAGTGAAAAAAAAGGGCTGATGGCGGAAAGAAACAAGAGTCAGTAGACCACTCGCTAAAAAAAAAAAAAAAAACAAAAAAAAAAAAAAAACTAAGTAAATAATTTGGAGTTTTTAAGAGCCAACCACCAACGGGAAAACTACATTTTCTCAGTTTAAAATAATTAATAATTTTAAAAGCCAATCTGCCTATGTTACACATCTTTTTATTTTATATATATATATTTTTTAAAAATTAAAATAATTTATTTTAAATTAATACACTCTCACATCCACTAATATGTTTGCTCAAACTAATCATTATACAATAAGCATAATTATCTCTCAAAAGAATAGAAATGTGAGGGATTCCCTAAGAAATAAAAAGATGAGTTAGAATATCTCAATATTTTAAATATGATTATTCTTATTAATTTAAAGTGGGTATTTATTGTATTCTAAGTAAGCCTAAATTGATTTTAAAAATAACTTTTCAATAATTAAAATTTGATTCATCCAGTATAATATTTGAAGAGCAAATTAAATTGTTAGGAATAATCATTAAAAATCAAAATAGATTACTTTCTGTTTTTAATAAAAATTATAAAACTATTAATTGATTTAATTTCTAGTGTTTGATGGTTCTCAAGGATATTGATTCGTAAATCACCAAAAATTAAGATATGACAATAAGAGTTTATTAATCATATTAGCTGCATGGTGTAAGTTGTAGGTTTAGTTGATAGAGGAGATTTCAATCATCCTAACTTTAAATGGCAAGGCACATACAATCATAAAAATACAGTCGGAGAAATAAAGCAAACCAAGAAAAAGATATAATATTTTTAATGAGATATGTCAGAATAAAAAAAAAATCACATATGATATATGGATTGAAACCTAACTTTCAAGGATAGATCATTGCCTTGCATGTGTCAGTCGAACAAGGTATTTGGTGAGAGTACTGATCAAATAATGTCTCAGATCTCAATATGATAACGTGTACTTTACATAGCTCCAGTTTAACACATCCTCTTGATACACTCAATATCTCTTTGAGAAGCACACATCCTCTTAGTACCCTCCAAATGCTATTAATAGAGTGGGATTATGCTTGAATATCATTTATGATGCATTGCCTCTCTCATGTATGAATACAATCACCCTAGATCTACCATTTCATATAATAATCACTTCCAATGTTTTGTTACTTGCATTTGGATTACATTAAAGGCATGCCCCTTCTAGCATGTGAAAACCAATTTGCATTAGCCAACACTCATCGCCTACTACTTAGTGCACATGCTAAGCTTTTCACAAGGAGTCCACTAGGGTATGATGTTATAGTAGTTGACATTACAAACTATAAATGAATTTAGCTGGCTTCCTTTAGATACTAATTATCTATTATAACTCTATATCATTCTCTTCTCCTAAGATTATCATGCACTTATTTAAATCTATCTATTTATCTCCTTTAATATGACACTTCCCAAAATTTTGGCCTTATAATCTACATAAGAAAAATCAAAAGAGACAATGAGAGAATTTTACAAATTGGATTTTGGTACAGGGATCAAATCGCTCTATAGTTTGGATATTTCTTCTCTTCCAATTGTTTTCACTTTGCTTGTGCTATCCATCAATCTTACTTGTGGAGAGTTCGAATTAAAGTATATTCTCTTTCCTCTATTCCTACACTACTCTCTTCAGAGATCGAGAAATCCAAATTTTCAAACCTTTTGTATTAATGGAGGGAAGATAAACTCTAGTTTAGAAGAAAGTGATACATGCATAACAATAGCAACAAAAAGATTTCCCTCCTTAATAATACTAGTTATAATGTCATTGAGCGTCACCCAGGTGATCCATTAGAAACATATTGGTGCTTAATTTGTCTTGATCAACACCCAGCTAGGCATGTTGACTGAAGTTAATGGTGTTAGTTCAAATTCTTCTTATAAGATCATTATTACATGGATTGGAGTATCAAAGAACCACATGACAAAGGACAACTCATAATGAGAATTATCCCATGCTACTATGGGCTCCAAAATTTTTGCACCCAAGCCTCTCTGTTTCATCTCTTTCTGTTTGGAAGGGGAAGTTTTAATGGGTTTAGGTTCCAAGTGAATTTGTTAGTTCAAATTTTTCTTATAAGATCATTATTACATGGATTGGAGTTTCCAATAACCACATGAAAAAGGACAACTCCTAATGAGAATTATCCCATGCTACTATGGGCTCCAAAAATTTTGCGCCCCAGCCTTTCTGCGCCATCTCTTCCTATTTGGCAGGGGGAGTTTCAATGGGTTTAGGTTCCAAGTGAATTTTTAGCTTAATTCAAAAAGTATCAAAATGTCCTACGACAGATAACAAAAATCATACTGAACAAAAATTCACATTTTTAGAATTTAACCAAATTACCAAATTGTGCATCAAATAACATTCTGAATCTTTAATTGAACTAAATCACTATTTTTAGACGTTAAAATGAATTTTTTTTAGGAAAAAAATTGCTATATTTTAAAAATCACCTGGTGAAAAATATCAAATAAATACTCAAAATGTTCATAATCTTAATCTTTATAACATATAAAAAGTTATACGGTAAAAGTTTTATCAGTACAAAATTATCATTATTTTTCGATAACAGAAATATAAATTTGATCAGAAAAATATCAAAAATAAAAAATCATAGAAATCAGAAAAAGGTTAATGATTCTTTATAGCGAGATGAGTAAAATTATTAATTGACTCAGACTGATAAAAATTACTCTGTGACCTCCAAATCTGAGCTTTTCATTTCTCTCTCTTCTCTTTCTCTCTTATTTTCTCTAAAACCTTCTATGTTTGGGCCGATTGAAGAAACAAATGGTTTTAATAAATATTAACAGTTGATTAGGATATTTTAATTAAAAATAATAATTTAATATTATATAATTAATTTAATCAATTTTTTTAGAATAAAATTTCATTAAAAATTTTTTGGGACTTTAAAAAATATAGAAAAAAATTCATAAAATGAATTATTTTCTTTAAAAAATATTGACAAAAGAGGTTTGCAAAATGGGAATTTGATGGTCCCAAAATCTCTACTGTGTTTGTTAATTTCTTAAGGATTTCAATCAGTGTCAAAAAATTACGAAAAAATTCTTGTAATTAAAATACGAAAATATCAATGCTATGTCGAATATGATTTTAAATTTGAACTTATAATAACTTTAGAAAAATTTATTTACATAGTACAAAATATGGGCTATTGAGTAGGGGTCAAACCCGAACCGGGAGAAGAAGTCGGAGACGAGATTGTGAGGTCGATGCCGTTAATTTGTGTGCGGAGGGAAGCCAAAGAGGGGACGAGAGGGAGTTCCGATGGCTTCAGTTCTGAGAGAGTGAAACTTCGAATGGGATGGATTTGGGAGTTTCGTCTGCTTTTGAGAGGGGCGAGGTCAACAACTACATAGTGTGTACCTCACCGTTAATCCTGAGGAAGAAGAATAACATGAGGAAAAGACTAGAATAAAAATTTCAATCAATAAAGTAACATATGTAGAGAAACAAATAAGGATTTCACATCTGTGATAACTAGCTCCCCTGCTGAAGGTAGCAGCATATTAGGACAACAAATCTCATCGCCTCAATTCTCTCGTGAAAAGCAAGACAAAACTCCCCATTTAAGAATTGAACCTCGACGCCCACTCATGATTTCACTCATTATAAGATAATTTCTAGCTTTCTTCTTAGAGGAACCTCAAAGAATGAGAAGAAAAATTATAATATCCTAAAGCATTAAAAATAAATAAAAAAATCCTTATAGAGTCAGGAGATTAAAAAACATACTGTTTTAGGAAAATTTAAAACTTGGGATTTCAAAAAAAAAAAATCTAAGTTTGTTAATTCCCATTTTAAGGAAAATTTCAAATTAAGAAAAAACTATCTGATGATAAAGAAGAGAAGCACAAAACATGATTCAATTCAATTATCTAAATAACAAAATATAAACCATCCTTATATAAATTAATACAAGTTTTATGGAGTACTAATCAACCTTTACTTTCAGATAACAAAATTTTGGGATCATGCTTATTTTTAGAAAAAATTATTCCTTGTGGAATCCGGACTGGAACAATCGTTCGGATATATAAGTATACACACTATACAAATTTATACATACTCTGTATTAAATTGTTATACATAATATGTACACTCACATGTTCGAGCGGTTGTTACTTCTGGACTCTGCACAGAATAATTTCTCCATTTTTAGACTTAAATCCATATTAGGCTTACATTGCGTGCAGTTACATTGGTAATTGGTGAGGATCCAAATCAAATTTTTATGACATCAACATAATCAACAGAGTGATCAACAAATCATGAAACCATACACAATATCACAGAACAAAATTAATACATGAATCTTACTACAGACTGCAAAGAACTCTCAAAAGACTTATTCTTTAATAACACTGCTTGCTGCTCACTATTGACACAAATCGTAATGAAACTTGGACGAAAGAACAAGCACCCTTAAAGCATGCGGTAGCCTCTGCATGCATTAAGAATTGGGAAGAATAAAACATATTCCCAGACCTAACTCTAAGCAGGAACCAGCACAGGCATCATCATCATTATTCCACAATGATGATTCATTCTTAAAAGGAAGAAGAGAAAAGAGAGAACAAGCCAAAATTCTACTAGTATCTCTTCCCAAGATAGACACCAATGAAGAGAGACACAACAACAACTCCTGAGAAGAACTTCAAGGAATTTATCCCAGAATTCTCCATGATAGAAGCCCCACTAGAACTTGGAGAAGATTTCTCACCAGTCAGCTCCCCACTTTTCTTTCTGTTCTTCCTTTTTGATGGCAATTTTGTCGTTAATTCAAAATCTCGGGATTTTGATTCTACTCCTTCTAAGTTATCTTCAGTAATCCCATCATCAACCTGCAAGTACATTGGTGGAATTGTTGTTATTGAGAAACAATGAAGGTTTATAGGAGGAAGTTTAGAATGTTAAGAGTTCTATTTATATGTGGAGAAATATGAGCGATAAGCCTGCTCTTCAGATTTTGGTGTGAATTACCAGAAACTCAGTACTTAGATCTAAATATTCTTCTCTAGCTCTTAATTGACAAGAGATTAAAGCTTCGTGTGGGACGGCTTTTTTACTGCTTCTTAAAATAACTTTTTTAGTACAAAAATTTTAATTTATTACTGAAAAACTACTTTAAGAAGCAGTAAGAAAGCCGTCCCAAATAAAATCCAAGTCATAAAAGCTTCAAGGAAAAGACAGTTTCCACTATGCAACCAAATGGCAAACGAATGTCATTTCGCTTGTTAACTACACGAATTTTCAAGAATATACACTGCCTGTGAAAATGAAATATCATATTCTACCAGAAAGAAATTTAGCTGATGGATCAAACCACTAGTTGCTACTGATTTTGCTTGGATAACATCGTGAAGATCTTTACTAAAGTTGGAATAAGCATTCCTGATACCCTATATTTTCCTTACTCGGTGAAGTGGTACAGGATTAAACATCTATCCTGGCATTTTCAGAAACACCAGGATATTGCATTAGAAAAGCACCATCTAATAAAAAAAATTCACCGCCAAGGAAAAAAGTTTAATTAACTTCTTTCAACAAAAAAATAACTACTATCATTGTACTTCTCAAGAAAGAAAACCCAACATCAAACATAGGACTAGATTAATCATCATGTAATACCAGTGGTATTTAAAGGCATACCTTCTTGTTCTGTGTCTGAGCCGTTTCCAATTTCTGTTTAAGTTCGTCAATTTGCTTTTCGAGCAGTGACGCACGCTGTTGCTCAGTTTCCAACTCATCATGGGAGCTTACAACGACATACTCTCTGTCCTGCTGCATCCTCAAGACGGTTTCTTTCTGCTTTAAAAGAAAATTTTGATAATTATGCTGACCAGCTATTAGTTAGTAATCTTTTAATTTTTGAAGAATTGTAAGAAGCAAATTCAACAAAACATTATACTTTTCAAAATGTTTATAGCTTATCATGGTAGCTAATTATTTATTAACAATACTTTTGAGTTTTGACACATCGATCATATGTGAAGGCGTCCATCTTGAAAATGATTAATTTAGTGTCAAAGTTTCCCTTATGGAATGGGGATATTTCCGCTACAGGAGCAAATTCTTTACCCTTTACGCATGAGCATGAAGACATAGTTCACCATCAATCCAGTTTCGCTTTGTTTCATTAAAGTGTTATACATTTAAAATGCCATTAAGAAACTTTTGAAGCACAGGTTTCGTTGGTATTGTGAATGTATGCACTCATGTTTACTATATAGAAAAGAAGTTAATAGAAAGCTTGGATAATTTATTCCTCCAATGGATATTCATACACAAAGCTATTTAGAACATAAATAAAAATTATACCATCTTAAGAAGAAATAGTAATTACAAAATTTTCGAAAAATAAAACTTCTGTACAAAACTTCTTTGTATGTGGCATTCTCCTTACCATATTAAGCATAGGAATTCTTGGCAAACATTTTCATCTATTTAGCACTTTAATTCGTGGATCCGTGGGATCCCCTTTTCATGTTGAGTACATGAATCCGTCACACATATTTTCCCTTATTTAACATACAAATTTGTGGTTCCTTTTATTCCTTATTTAGTAATCCCAAGGCTATCAATTCTTCCAATGCTTACATAATTCCAACATTTAATATTAAAATAACCGCGAGATTATAACCCTGAATTTAATCCCATACTATTTGTGATGTTAGCAATCATGTTTACATGACTATATTGTCTCACTGATGTCTAGTTTATCTTTCTTATACTAACTGCATCGCACTTCATTAAAACTGCCTTAGCAGTTTCAAAGCCAAAGCAGTGTACATTTCAACTATCTCTTATGTCTTGTCTTAAATTCTACAGCGTGCACTTTGCAATGTTAACTTAGCCCTTCCAATTTTTTATTTTTTTTCCCTTTTCCACACCAACTATAGTGTTTCTCATATTATTCTCAACGTAATGGTGCTTTCAATGAATCAATGTATGATTTCATAATATGCCATTATATATAAGATTCAGAAATCAAGGTCAGCAAGGACAAAAGCATTAAATAAACCTGCTCCTGTATGAGGCTATCATAGTCCTTTCGGAGATTATCCAACTGCTGGGTCAAAACATCTCCTTTTTGTGCTAAACTTGCATGCTCTTGTGCTTTAGAAGCCAGTAATGCATCCTTCTCAGCAGCTGCTTGCCTCATATTTTTAATCTGAAAAATAGAAAATCTTAATAATAATCTTCTTCGTTGAACATCTTTCCATTGTTATTAAAAAAGTTTGATATATTGTGCAATGAATAGGAGTACCTCTTCCGTATGCTTTGTATCAGCTGCTGATATTTGCTGCTCCAGATCAGAAATTACTGCTTGTAGCTGAGATTTCTGAGATAACTGCTCTTTTAGATTTTCCAGTTCAGCATTGAGGGAGGATTCTGTTGTCTTATAAACATTGTGCATTTCTTGAAATTTAACTTTTACTGCTTCAACCTCATCCTTTGCATCTTGATACATTTTATTATTCCTATTACTCTCATCCAAAATAAAAGAAATCTGTAGACAATGCAGATTATGCGGAATAAGCTTCATGAAGTATTTACAATTCAAGTGCACATAAGAATCATCTTTTTCATTGAATGTACCTCTCCAATGCAACTAATAAAGTTTAAAATATTATAGGGAAACAACTAGCAGTACCTCTTCCTTGTGTTTGGTATCAACCACTGACAATTGCTGCTCAAGTTTAGAAATTATAGTTTGTAGCTGAGATTTCTGAGATAACTCTGCTTTTAGACTTTCCAGGTCAGCATTGAGGGAGGATTCAGTTATCTTATGAACGTTTTGCATTTCTTGAAGCTGGACTTTTAGTTGTTCGATCTCCTCCTTTGCATCTTGATACATTTTATTAGTTCTATTATTCTCGTCCAAAACAGAAGAAATCTACAGACCGTTCAACATACAAAGAATCAGATTCATTAAGTGTTTACAGTTCAAGAGCACGTGAGATATCAACATCTGAATTGTAATTGATATCAATCATTTGATGAATAAAATATGAATGAATTAAATGCCATTACCTGAGATTGGAGTTTCTCTCTCTCGGAGAACAGCTGTTGAGAAAGATCCTCAATTTCTTTATTTGAAGACTGAAGTTGCACGGATGCATCTTCTCTCTCTGCAGTAATGGTTTTCAACATACCTTCTAACTCGTGCACTTTAGTTTCATATTCTGCTATCTTTTGGGACAAACTTAAGTTTGTTTGACCTAAAAGTTCATGCTCGTTCTCAAAATGACTAGCTTTACTTTTCGTTTCCTCAACGGATCTTTCCAGGTTCTGTATTTTCAAAATGGCGTCCTCCAGTTCAGCCTTAGAATTTTCAGCAAAAGAAGCCGCTTCATTTGCATGTTCTTCATGAGTTTTAAGCTGGGTTTCAAATGCAAGCAATCTCTCATTTAGTTCTTTAGCTTCAGAATCTTTTTTTGCACATCTCTCAAGAGCTTCACACAACTTTACTTCAGTTTCTTTAATTGAGGCTTCCATTTGAGACTGGTATTCTGAACTTTTCGAACGATCATTGGTCAAGTCTGTTATATTTTGCAAATAGCTAAGCAGTTGGCTATCCATTGCCTCCTTTTCAGCATGAATGGAGCTCAATGAATCATACAGCTCCTTTATTTTTGATTGGCTTTCTTCCAGCTCTTTTTTGAACCTTTCACTCTCAGCAAATGACTGTTCAGCCTTTGTTTCACTGCCAGATAATTTTCCAGTGAGTTCCTCAACCATTGTCTCATGGGTGGTCAATCTTGCAGCACTTTCCTCCAGGTCTATCATTAAGGATGCAAGTTTCTCAGTTGTTTCCATGACTTGCTCTTGATAGAAAGCTGACTGCTCCTCAAGAGAGTTTAATTTAAGATATAGCTGTTTAGCTTCTGAATCTTTTTCAGAAAAACTTGCTGCTGCTACTTCAAGTTTTCGTTCAGAATCCTTGACTAAAGAATCATGTAATGATTCAAGCTCCGAGTACCTTGTAATAGATTGCTCAACCGACTTTCTTTCATGTTCCAGCTGTTCTTCAGTAGACTTTAGCTTCTCCGCCAATTCATTCTCTCTCAAGACAGAAATCTCGAGGTCCCTTTCTACAGCTCCCAATTTCTCTTGAGTGTATTTCAGGTCAGTTTGTAAATCCTCAATTAACTTTTCAGCCTGTGAAAGCTTTCCAGCAGAGCTATTTGACAAGTCTTCATGCTTCTTCCTTTCTTCAGTGACAACATTCAGCATTTCTATCAATTCCTTCTCCTTGTCATTTGCAGATTGCAGATCAACTACAAGGCGTTGTGAACTTTCCTTCAGTTCCTGTAATTCTGTAGAAAGCTCAAGCACTCTCCTAGCTTGCTGCTCCAACTGCACTTCAGCATCTTTACATTTTCCCTCTGTGAATTTCAAATGCTGCTCCACTTCCTGTTTTTCATGATTGGCAGCTTCCATGAGTAACTCCAACTCTGTTACTTTCTTTTCATTATTCTCTACTTTCGATTCAGACACATGAAGAAAATCACGCAGATCAAGACTATGCTGATGCGAAACACTAAGTTGCTCTTCTAGCACTGCACACTTCTCAACCAGTTTTGTCAGCTCTTCTTCAAGTTCGGACTTCTTGGTATAAGAGCAGTTCAAAGATGACTCTAGCTGGTTAATCCTATCTTCATGTGCTTGAACATGGCATTTTGATTGAGCGTGATTCTCTTCAGCTTCTCCTAACAAAGCAGTAAGTTCTTTGCTTTTCTCACTGAGTTCTTTCATCTCTCTCTCTGTATCTGCAAATTTTTGTTCAACAAGCGATATTTGCTGCTCAAGATCTAAGTTTCGCTTCTCAGCAGAAATTAATTGAGCCTCTGTTTCCATTAACCGTGCTTTGAGTTCACTTTCAGATGTGCTGATGTCCGCCAGCTTGCTTTGAAGAGTTTCCTTGTCACCTTTTAGATTGTCAAGTTGTTCCTGTAAACCCAGAATTTGTATTTCTTGGCTCTGAAACCTATTTTCAACTGTTTCCCTAGCCTTAATCTCCTGATCAAGTTTCAATTTAACTTCTTCAAGTGCCACAGCTTTAGCTTGGAGTTCTTCTTTCAAAGAAGAAAGAATGCTTTCAAATTCTAGTTTTTCTTGCTTCATCTGGTCTTCAGAATTCTTATAAAGATCCAATTCCTGAGAGAGTTTGCTGATGTAAGTCTCCTTGGAAGAAAGTTCCTGTTCAAGTTCTCCGACATGTGACTTTGAAACATCCAACTTTTCCAAAGATTCAGCAAGTTCCATCTTTGTGGCAGAAAGTATTTCCTCCACTTGGTTACTCTCCTCCAACCTATGGTTTACCACTTTCAACTCTTCTTGCAGTTTATTCACATGATGTTCCATCTCGTTTGAAGCTAACTTTGCAGTTTCCATCATCTTCTCAAGCTCTAAAGCCCTTTGTGACTGCAACTCTGCATGTGAGCTGTTTTGAATACTTTGTTCTTCAAATTTGCGTGCCTGACTTACCGTCTCCTCCAGCTGCAATGCAAGCTCCTCTAGCTTCTTTTTTGAGCTCTCCAGCTCAGCAGTCAAGCCATCTAATGCTTCCTTCGTCTCAGCAACCTCCTTATGCTTTCCATCTAGATCTTTCAATGCTTCCTGGAGTGATACAGCCTGCAAATTATGCTTTTGGTCTTCATCTGACATCTCCTCTCTCATCCTGTTATGCTCAAGTTGAAGCTCTTCATGCTGTCTGGTACTTAGCTTTAGTTTCTCAATAGCTAGATCAAGCTCCGATTTTAACTTCGTTCTATCAGAATCAAAATTTTTTAACTCTTCATTGACTTCTTGAAGTTGGAGCTCAAGTACTCTGATCTTATCTTGCGCTTCAAACAGATCATTGCTTGAATTGTGCAAGTTTTCATTAGTAGAATGTGGGATACCTTTTTCATACTGTTTATTTCCTTCTTGCCCTTGTGAGTTCCCATCACCATTGATTAAAATTTCTTGCACATTGTCATCAACCTGTTACAGATCCTTGTTAATAAATGCATACAATGTATATTATAATCAATTATTATTCCAGGAATGACCATATACTCTACAGATACTTCAATATGCAAAAATTTTATTTCATTCTCGCTTTCCATATGATATAGATTGTTTTGATCGAGACCTTGTCTTCATAAATAATAGTAGGAATAACTAAACATTGAACCGATTAATATGAAATTCATTAGATTCAACATCTGAATAATATTAACGCACCAATTGAACTTCAGGTTTTATGCATAAATATAATTAATTGTGAACAGGGGCAGAGCTAAGATTTTTTTCTAAATGTGGGGGCACAAATCATTGAAGTAAAAAAAAAAAAAAAACCGACAACCTTTTACATCAAGGCTTGGAACCTGCATTAGCAGGTTTTTTTTTTTTCAAATTTTTACTAGAAAGCTGCTAAGAAAGCCGTCCTAAATGAAGCCTAAATTCAATTAAATTCTTTTACCCATACATTTTCATTTTCTCTCTTTAAATTCCTTCAAGCCGAACAGAGGCTAAATAAATGAGCAGACACAAGAGTTTTATAAAAAAATAGATATACTTATCTCAAGATTTTTTTTTTTAATTTGAATTTATGGCATGAAATAGTGCTAATTTCAGGCGTCTACCTTGCAATCTAGACTCTGACATGCTCCATGCGTGCGTGGAAGAAGGAAAGAGTGGAGCGTGAATTGGTAATCAGAAGAGCCTCATGAAAAAAGCAAAAAAAAAAAAAACTAATATAAATTATTTTATTTAAGGCTAATTAAAGAGTAATTAATACACATAATTAAACATTAATTAAGTTTTCCGTGGGGGCCCGTGCCACCAGGGCTCCCACACTGCATCCAATCCTAATTGTGAAAATGAAGGCTAAGCATTAAATTTGAGAAAAAAGATCAAAATGGTCCATCAACTCTTTGAGAGAGATCAAAATAATCTCAAACTCTTTTGATGGACCAATTTGATCCATCAAACTCTTTAAAATGGTCCTTTTTTATCATAACAACCAATATTGGAATTAATAGTGTTAAATGTAAGGGTATTTTGATCATCTTTAACTAAATATTTATTATATATAATTTTAGGTAATTATAATTTTTTGGATTCAACCATATAAATTTTTATCAGACAAATACAAGATGCCAAAATGCTAAACTCCACTTGCACTAAAAATTTGAACAGATTTATATTCTTTACAGTACAATACATTTGCAACCATTCAAACAGTTTTGACGCCAACATTCGAACAGAATAAGAGTAGGGGAGGTTGGAATTTTGGTTTCTGCTTGAGTGTGAAGCAAATGGCGTGAGTAACAGAGAAGGATGGGAGCAGCAAGTGATCGTGTGTAAAGATTTATAGCCTTGTGATTTCAAACTTTGAGAAAATCTAAACAATATTGTAAATCAGGTTAAGGAAACACAATCCAAGGAGAAGTAATACTGTATTACAGCGTTTATAAAAACAAATCCAAAATTCATAAATCAAAAGTTGTTTTTAGGTATTGAAATGCTCAAATGCCACCACTATCTCACAAAAATCGATAATGCATACTCACCGCAAGCGATTTTGCTTCTCGAACTAGATGAGACGCCGGAGGCGGAGAAGACAAAGGAGGCGGAGAATGCCAGCCATGCGAGAAGAATATGGGTTTTTTTTCGCGCCTTGCAATGCCACACGAACGAATACAAAGGCTCCGTTGTCCGCTCATAACGCATCCCAACCATCCTTTTTTTTAGCGAACAGACCGGTTACAGGAAACCGGAACCGGTTCAGCGGTCGAACCGCAGGTTCGAGTGGTTCGACTCCGGTTTTTAGCAAAACAGGTTTTAGTTTGACACGTGACCGACCGGTGAGCCGGTTCGCGGTTCAACCGGTTGAACCGGCCGGTCTGGTCCGGTTTTAAAAGCCATGGTGAAATCTAAATTTTTTAATTACATCTAGGACTATAATTAAAGATTTTATAAATACTAAGATTTAATAATGTATATGTACATATATAGAAATAATATTTTAATTGTATATGTGAACTAAAAAGATATGATATTCCATGGCGCATAAGAGTAAGGAAATCCACCCAATTTTGAATTGAATAAATAGATAAATTGATAATAATAAGAAAATGTACTTTAATAAAAGAATTATAATTAAACGATAAGATCAATTTTAGTAAACAAAAATATGTCTAACTTAAATAAAATTAATTAACATTAAAATCTTATAAGAAATTATGTATGATTATGGGCATTAAACTAAATGAGACGGAGTTTAAAAATTAAAGGACCAAAGCAAGTTTTCTAAAAATAAGGTGGGTAATTATATTTCTATGTAATGGAAATAATGCTCGTTCCTTAAATCCAATGCATTGATTATAATGTTCTATTTTATGCATTTGATAATGTGATTATTACCAGATTGTTATGAACTTCATGAATTAGAGGCCCTTTTGATGTATTGAAATTAATGTTACTAGAAAGGTTATGAATAATAATTTTGCTATTATTTAATATTAGTAGTAGTATCTAAATTTTGGGCTAATTGTTTGTTCCAGCCTTGATATTTTAAGCTCTCAGGCCAGGTCATAAAAAATTATCTCACTTTCTGTTATATAAATGATTAAAATAGGTTAGACTACAAACGGGAAATTCAATAGGTATAAAGCCCATCCCAAAAAGAAAAAGAAAAAATCATCCAAAGAAAACTAATAAAAGTGAAATCCAATAGATTGTAATAAACTCAATAGAGGGAATGTAAGTGGTTCATAAGGCTCAGGATCCAAAAAAGCATATGATTCAAATACTTCCAATTGAATTAGAACATAAGCATCAAATATAAAAATGTATGCTATATGTTGAATGCTTCAAGATCCAGCTTCTAAAATGCACGAGAGCTTTTATTTGAAGCACATGAAATAGGTTTTTAAAATACCTCAAGAATTCACCCACAATAACAGACACTGGGAGAGGTTTGATATGAAGCACATGAAAAAGAAGCTTCCACACACAATTGCATATACTACTCACAACTTCGCCTTAGACAGCAATCTAAAATGTAGAAAATCTTATGAATAGTTACATTATTTACAAACCTCGTCATCTTTTCTTAGTATAAAAAACCTCAATAAATGGAAAGAGAATTGAAAGCTATTTATTTCAAGTCTCAGGAATGATAGGAATCAACAAAAAATGGTGCTTCAAGTGGACTTCTAAATCATAAAAATAGTAAGTAAATGTAGTCATCAGAACAGGAAATACGAACTATTTAGACAAGGAAATAACTAACCTTAATTTCTGAAAGCCTCTCCTCTCCAACTCCAGAACCTGGATGCGCTTCTTCATCCATAATTGTTGTCACCTGTCTCCTCTTCCTTTAAATCCTGTAAACTTAAAAAATAAATAAATGATTATTGCAAAAAATTAAGTTTAGATTAATTTAGTAATAAAATTTGGCAGGAAAGTGCACAAATTTAACGTAATGTATTTTAGCCCGATTTGAACCAATACGCTAAACCCTGCAAGTGTATGGCTTCACAAGATTATAGTACCGAGCGTTATAGTATGGTCAACTGAATAAGTTCTTAATTTAATGCCAGGTTATCATGCTCTTTTTATAATAAAAGTAGTATCATCATCATCGTTATCCCTATCATCCCCAACTGCTTGGCTGGACTTCTCATTCTCTTCCCCTTATTCCAGATGAGGTTAGATTTATAAATCGTGTGTCTCAACTCTCAGCACGCAAGGCAGATTCAGAAGGCAGTCCTTTGCTCCCTTGGACCAACAATCATTCCTAAGGGTCTCTAGCGGCATCGTTTTTACTAATACACAAATGTGACCAGCTTGTCTAATTGCCGTTGCTAGGAATGTAATGAACATAATTTGAGAAATTTATGGTGATTCATTTCATATTGACCAATGCTCCAACAGTATATATTAATAATAAGCAAAAAATTTATTTATGATAGTATTCATCAATGACATTATTGTCTATTCAAGAAAAGAAAATAATCATACCAATCATTTGTATATAATTTTACAAACACTTAAAAGGAATGAATTATATATATATATACACGAAACTTTATTTGCAAAGAAAAAAATTATGATTAATTTTATTAAAAACTTTTTTTGAAGCCTAACATTAAGCAAATTCTTGACTACATTGAATGCAATGTTATATTTCTAGACTCTAGTGATGTTGAAAATGCCTATTTTCTTTGAATTAATAGCACTATTTATTACATTTTAAGGAAAAGGAATGACAGGAAATTTGACTCTATTAAAAGCATCCTCACTGTTCTTGCACTCTTTCTAAAAGTTGTCAATCTAAAGATTTCTAGCAGGAAAAATGCGCATGCTATTAGGAAAAGCTTTGTTTATTATGGCTTCGGGTTTCCTAACTGGACGATGATGTAAAGCCATCTTGATAGGTTTTAGCGTCCCGTTTTGGATGGTCTTTGTTCATCTTAGGCATCCAGAGGACTATTTTTGGGTTCCTGTCTTAGGGGTATGATATCATATGATTTCTCCCTTCCGCTTGAGTCCAATTCTTCTTCCCTCTTTCTAAGTTTCATGTTTCTTCTTTTTGTTTCATTCCCCCTTATTTTGTAGAGCATTGCTCCAGCTCATGTAATTCCCTCTTCATTTCTGAGTTGTAAACAGGCTTTGGCCTTTGTAACTGTTCTCTAACAATAAAATGGGCTTTCCCCTCATCAAACTCAAAGAGAAAAAGATTTACGTGAGCAAACTTTCGGACTCTGAAGGAGAATCCAGTTTAATGCTCAGTGGGCATAGCAATAATGACAGGTCAGACTATTGGAGCTGAACGTTTTTTTAAAACTGCAGAGGACAATTTTCTATAAGTAGGCAACTTTGGGCAGCGTTAAATGCTCAACCTGGGGATGTTGTATATAGATGCCTGTAGCTCGTTCGAGAAATCACAGACTGGATTATACCGTACACTTGTGATGAGTATGAACATATGAATCAACTCTAAAAAAACAAAGAAATTTATAACAAAAACAGTTGCTACACAAACACTAAGGCTTCGTTAGTGACGGTTTTCTTACTGCTTAAAGTAATTTTTTGTAAAAAATTAATTTTTTTTACTAAAAAACGGCTTTAAAAAGCAGTCCCAAAAAAGCTTAATGTAATTGAGATTTGAAATATGTATAGAAAACTTGAAGAAGTTGAAGACAGCGAGAACAGAGATAAGGAACAAAACAAGATATAATTTGTATATTGCTTATCTGTCCAGTTACATCAATGACCGATATATATAGAGTTTAAGTAGGATAATAAGTACACGTGTAAAGCTATGATTGGAAGTAAGAATAGTTATTTAAGTTATCTGCTCTAACATTCCCCCGCAAACTGACGAGTAAGTGCTAACAGTCAGTTTGGAGCGGAGAACTTTGAACCGATTAGTGGATAGCGGTTTTGTGAGTATATCCGCAAGTTGGTCTATTGTGCTGACTGGAAGCAGCTTGATATGCTTTTGCTGTATATGGTCACGAACAAATCGTTGATCGATTTCTATATGCTTTGTTCGAGCGTGGAAAATCGAGTTGTTTGCCAAAGCTATAGTAGACATGTTATCACAAAATATGTCTACCGGGTTGGACAAGGTGATGCGGAAGTCCAAAAGTAATCGTCTGATCCAAATCGTGTCCGCCGTGGCTGCTGCCAAAGCCCGGTATTCTGATTCTGTTGACGATCGAGAGACGGTAGATTGCTTTTTAACTGTCCATGAAACTAATGTGTTGCCCATAAAAGTGCAATAGCCAGACGTCGACTTCCAGGTGACTGGATCTGACGCCCAGTCGGCGTCCGAAAATGTGCGGAGCTGAAGGTTTGATCTGGTTATGGGTATACCAAGTTCTGTAGAACCTTTGATGTATCGGATCAACTTCTTGAGCATTAGAGTGTGTTGCGGAGCCGGATCGTGCATGTGTTGCGATAGAACATTGACGGCGTAAGCAATGTCTGGCCGCGTCAATGTTAAATATTGTAGGGAGCCAATGATACGCCTGTACAATGGTGCGTCAAAACACGGTTGAGCGTCGGTTTCTGTAACAATGGGTTTAGAAAAGCAGGGGTTAGCGACCAAATTGCAATTCTGCAATCCGGCCATTTGAACGATTGATTTAGCATAAAGAGATTGGGAAAGAAAATACTTATCTTGATTGGATTCAATTTTGATGCCTAAGAATTGATGTGCTGCACCTAAATCCTTCATAGTAAATTTAGATTTTAATTGATCAATAAGATCAATCATGGCTTGGCTGCTGTTACCGATTATTTATGTCATCCACATAGACGAGGAGGTAGATTTGAAGTTTATCTCGGTGCAACAGAAGGAGGGACGGGTCCGATTGACTTTGCTGAAAACCGATTTGAAGGAGATATGAGGTGAACGTAGTGTACCATTGCCGTGGAGCTTGACGTATACCGTATATCGCCTTCCATAGAAGACACACGTGATTCGGTTTGGAGGTGTCTTCGAATCCCTTCGGTTGACGCATATAAACTGTCTCGTTGATGTCACCATGTAGAAATGCATTTGCAACATCGAGTTGGTGAACTTTCCATTTGTGAAATAGCGCTATCGTGAATAATATGCGTATAGTCGGTAATTTAGCCACCGGGCTAAAGGTATCATTGTAGTCGATTCCAAGTTCCTGTTGGGTACCTTGAGCCACCAAACGTGCCTTGAATCGAGCTATTGATCCATCGGAATTAAATTTCGTTCGGCATGTCCATTTGGAACCGATTATGGAGCCGTTTGATGGTGGCGGTACCAACTCCCAAGTGCCTTGTTTATGGAGTGCAAGAAATTCTTCTGCCATGGCATTTCGCCATTCAATTTTCATGCAGGCTTCATTGTAGTTTGTAGGATCGCTTAAAGTTTGTTCCTGATGAAGCAGATTAATTCTTTGAACTGGTTTAAGTGTCCCAGTTTTAGTACGCATAGTCATGGGATGAGGATGATGAGTAGTAGGTGCTTCAGGCGTGTCTTGACTGTTGTTAAGAATATTGTTAGATTGAACAGTAGGTGGAACACATTGTGGTGACTGTATAGTTTGTTGTTTATGAGCTTGAGTAGGTTGCAGAATTGTGGACGCAGGAATAAGCAGCGGAGGGGGTATGTTGGTTGTGCCCATAGGAATATTTGAAGACCTGTTGAAGCAGGGAAAAACATATTCATTAAATTTGACGTGTCGAGAGACTATGGTATTACCTGTGGCCGGATTATAGCATTTGTAGCCTTTCATGCTATCGGAATAACCCAAGAAAATACACGCCACTGATTGAGGTGTAAGTTTTGTTCGGTTTGTCGGAGGCAGTAGTGGATAACACTCGCAACCAAATGTTCGAAGGTGTTCATAGGAAGGTGTAATGTTAAACATTCGTTGTAGCGGTGACAAATTTCTGGTGTTTGTGGATGGTAGACGATTGATGATATACGTGGCAGTGGACGCAGCATCGAGCCAATGAGCCATCAGTAGACCGGCTGTTTGAAGAAAAGTTCTCGTGGTGGTAATGATGTGCCGATGTTTACGTTCGGCAATTCCATTTTGCTCCGGAGTATACGGACAAGATGTTTGATGCTTGATTCCGGCTGTCTTTGTGAATTCTTGAAATCTCTTGTTGACAAACTCGCCACCGCCATCAGTTCTAATTATTTTAAGCTTTCAAGAGGTTTGCCGTTCAATAAACGTAACAAATTGAATAAAGACATTAGTTACGTCAGATTTATGCGTGAGCGGAAACAGCCAAGTAAATCTAGAAAAATCGTCTACAAATATTACATAATAGTGGAATCCTTGTTGAGAGGAAACCGGGGATGGTCCCCAAACGTCAGAGTGAACCAGATCTAGTGGAGCTTTGGTACTAGTACGAGATCGTTCAAAAGGTAGTTTATGAGTTTTACAAGAATTGCATGAATTACATTGAAACTTAGACAAAGAAATATGTAATGAAGGATTAACATGAGAAATGTTTTGTAAAGTTCTGTAATGAGGATGTCCGAGCCTCAGGTGCCAAGCGTAGGACGAACTGCTTGTAGCCGATAGTGCTTGAGGCTGCGTAATGCTAGGTTGAGCTGCAACTTTGTATAATCCATCTTTGCAAGGACCACTAAGGATGATTTGATTGGTCACTCGATCCTTAAATACAAAACCGTTAGCATCAAAAGTTATAGAAATGAAATTATCTTTTACAAGATTGAAAATAGACAAAAGATTATAAGATAAGGATGGTATGTGTAAAAGACGCGATAAGAGAATCTTACTGGACGGGGTTGGAAGGATGCCCGTCCCGGTGTGACTAATTTGGACGGACCTTCCATCCCCAATAGTGACCATGTCATTGCCATTGTAGTTTTGATAGCTTGTCATGTTATCGGTGGTGTTGGTCATGTGCGAAGACGCACCCGAATCGATATACCAATCCGTGGCTGTATTGACATCATTGTTGGCAAGAAGTGCGCTTGGATTCTTGGACAGAGGCTGAGATGGAATGTAGTTGATATTGAGACGATGCCAGCAAGCGTCGGCCATGTGCCCTTTCTTCTTGCAAATTTGACAAATGACAGCTGAGGTAGAATTTGGTCTTTGCGTCGTTGAGGAGTCATTTGTTTGCCTGCCTCGACCTCTCTTTGGTCTTCCACGATAGGCATAAAGAGCTGCATTGTTGTCTGGCTGCTTTTGAAGTTTTAGAGCAGCAGATTTCAGATGTATTTCCTCACTGATAAGGAGGGCATACAGGTGATCTAGAGTGAGCGTATTTTGCATTGTTCGAATGGTTGTAGTGAACGACTGGTAAGACGGAGGGAGCCCATTTAGGATGTATAGAATCACATCTTCGGAGTCGACCGTCGAGCCTGCCGAAGCAATTTGATCCACGATCTTCTTGATCTCAGTAAGATACTGAGTCATGGACAGATTTTGCATGGAAATGTTGTGGAGCTCGTTCTTGAGCTGAATAACCTTGGACCGATTTGTTGATTGGAACCGGACTTGCAGCGTCGACCAGATTTCATTTGTTGATTCAAGATGAATCACATATGGCAAGATCTCCGGCGATATAGTAGAACACATCGCCGTGGCCAGATTTTGATCTGTGATTCGCCAATTTGTGGAATCTTGATTTGGATGTGCATTCTCGGCTTCCGATTTTGGATCAAGATACGCCGAGAAGCCATTTGCTTTGAAGAGTTTCGCGATTTGGGTGCTCCAAATGGAGTTATCTGCTCTAACAAAACTATCCCTAAACACCATAAAATGAAAAGCACCAAGTTGGGTTGCCGAATGCTTGTGGACGGTCAGATCTCCCTTCAAGAAACTCGCGTCAATATAAAGTATCCCTATCATGACCGCAAAACGGACGGTGGAACCTTGCGTAAGAAACGCGCCGCAGTCGATTCTTCATTTGCACCCCGAAAGCAAATTCGTGAACGCCATCTATTCCGGGTCTCCATAAAACACGCCAACACGATAGATGACGGTATCAAGACCGAACCTGCCAGAGCATCTAAGGAAAAAATTTACGATCATAAAGGCACTATCGGATCAAATTCAGTGAGGGATATGCTAAGCCGGCTAGAATATTGACGGAAAACCTACCCAAAAGAAATGAAACGACGTGCTTAACCTTTCTTTCTACCACTACAGCAGGCCTACTTCAATTATGGAAAATGCATTGTGTTAATTTAAATTCTACCTAATCAGATGGTTGTTGCTAAGGAGCTGTCAGACTCAAATAAGAAAGGCAGTGTCTTTCAAAGGGTTTGCTTTTCTTTCAACTCCTCCACAGAAAGCTCAGTTTAATAAGAATAATAGCGCAGATACCTTCCAGTGGAAGAAATGAGTAAGGGCAATTAATCAATAGGTAGCTCTTAAGGAATTGAGTTTCACTTGATTTCATAAGATTAGCTATGAAAAATGAAGAAACAGAGTGAGATGGCGAGGTAGGTGACATAATGAAAATTACATGATTTCTTTATTATTCAAAAGTGGAGAGTTCACGGGGGGCATAATTTTTTACTTTTTACCCGTATTTATAAGTGGGATGGAGTCAAGATAAAAAATATATTAAAACTAACTATATGTGACAAATTATGACTTAATGAATATCAGATAAAATAAAATAAAAAAATCTGATTATATATTTTTAAGTAGATTCAATACATATTAAAAATTTTCAAATATGAGGTGGACTCGCATGAAGTCGCCAGCAATTTTATCCAGCTTGGCCATCTTGAACCAGTAACCGAATTTCTTATGATTGTTCTTCATTCATGTTCATTCCTGAGCGAGTATACCAACGAGTTCGCTATAGTCCAGCAACTTAAGTGAATCGGTCATGCCTGGCCAGACGATTTTGTTTGGGTGTACGCGTAAAGCAAGACCTCACGCTTATAACAAGACGAAAGAAAAACCCAACTTATTTCCCCTGCTCCGCGGCAACCCATCGATCGGTGCCCTAAAACTTCACTCATACTCGATCGAGGGACGCATATAAGCCAAAAGAATGCCCCGATCACCCAATAAATGGAGAACTACTAATTCCATCCTGCATCGCATACAAATCGAACTCGGATTCCAATCCGATGATCTTCCAAAGCAAGATAATGGGATCTTCATATCATTTTTAATAGAAAACTATCTGCGGAAAGCGTATATATCAAAGCAGGAGGGAGAATCAAGCCACCCAGGCAGATCAAAAACAGAAGAAAGGAATAAAGATTTTGCTTCAAGATCTGAAATAAATGGTTTGTGCTGGATATTTTCTTTCTTACCTCCTCGCCTGCTCTTCTCTTCTAATCCCGCCTTCCCTTCCCTTTCCCGCTTTCTTCGCCGCCGAATGAAACTGGAAATGACCGCCGGCGAGAGAATATTTGATTTTATACGCGAGCCGATTCGTCTTCGCTGGCATTGCTGTTTTCACCATCTCGGTACGCTTACCTTTTAGATTCATTGGACCAGCTGGAAAGGTGTGAGCCCACCACATACGAATGACTAATGGCCCCCACGTTTTCTTAATAATGATTGACAAATATACCCTTGTTGGAATCTTCCTACACGAAAGTAGTTTTGGGGGTAGATTTGTCATTTGAGCATTGGATGCGCAGGCCGCATAAAACGTTTGTAATGACGCCCCCATAGACTTGTCCAAGATACAGAATATGGAAAAAAAATGGGGCCCGCAGGTGTGAAATTGTAGCCACGGTTTGGTTGGTGGAACGTGCAGGTTAAAATTTCCGGATGGTCGGTCATAATGACGACGGTCAAGCCGGTTTTGAGGGCATTTGGAACTTGTTGAATTTTAATTTAATACATTTTTTATATGGATTAATATAATAATAAATTTGTATTATTTAATAATTTCATCACTGAAATATTTAAGATTGATTAACATATATATCATAAAATTTTTGTAAATGTATAATTTTTCGTACGCATATTATGATGTGAATAAGATGCTAAATTATTATATAAGAAAATATTAAAATTTAGGTATGAGATACATTAATGTATAAGAATTAAGATGATATGTATATAAACCCTTAAAATTTAATATGTTCTCCACCCAAATAATAAAATTAATTTATGCCATTTTTCAAAAATTACTTAATCAGTGTTTAGAGTGAATATGAGCATCAATCTTGATTGAGTTATTTAGGCTTAAGATGATTATTTTTCTCTTTTTTTACTTCTCCTTTTAATTTCTCTCTTTTTGGTACATTTAAGGGTTATTTGGTTATAAATACCAAAATTTAGAAGTATTTTAAATGTAATGTAAAATAAGTTTATAATGCTCAAAAGGTGTTTGTTATGCAATGTAAACATTTTCTTAATTATGTTTAAAGGTTGGGTTATGTACAACCCTTTTTTTTTTTAATTGTGATGGATTTGTGATGAAAATATTAGTTATTTTTTAGGCATAATTGTGGCGAAAATTTCACTGTAAATCCATCGTAAATCTGACACAAACTACCATATCTAACCGACTGATTGGGCATTCGTTTCGTTTGTGAATCCTATTCTCAATCGCTCTTCTCCGCCCTGGACTTCACTCGCAAACCGAAATTTACAACAAATTTTTCGACAGATTTTTTCGTCGCTAAAACCTAACTTTCTTGTAATGTGATTAATAGCTTCATCAACTTCTACTTTAACTATATATATGGTGATGTTACTACAACGATTGCCTATCCTTCTCCTCTTGACTCCAACACCATCACGATGAGAATCCTTAAATGTTCATTATTTTTCTTTATTTTTTTTGTGTTTGTGTGGATGCTCAGTCTCCCGCCTATTCTTTTTTTTTTTTTTTTCATTTGAAGCCTATTCTTTTTTCATTTGATTGCAAAAGTTGACGAGCAAAAGCTTGACGATATGAAATATCATAATAAATCAGATAAATCCACATTAAACTCATCTATTTACATGCATCATATTTCCCCCCCTTTAAATCTATGTTTATTATGACTATTTTTCATTGAATCTGAATACTACTTTATATTTTTGGAACCTGACTATCACAATGGGCTTCTTCAAAGTTTGACATTATGAGTCTTTTTTTTATTATATATATATTCTTCACAAGTACTTGTAAGGCTTTTCACTTTTCGATTTTATATATAATTATAGAGATGTCAAAATCGGGTTACATGTCGAACTCAACCCGGAATTCAAAACGAGTCAAAAATCAGAACCCGAATCCGACCCATTCTTGAAACAATTGATCCTAACCCGAAAAATTCAGGCCAGGTTCAACTCGAGTTTTCGGCCTTTCGGGTCATGTCATTTTTTAACATAGCTATGTAATTCTATGCATTTGTTTTTATTTAGGAGTTTTTATATTTTGAAATCATAACAAGTATCCAAAATTTGTTAGCCATACTCTTCAATTGAGGAAAACATATATTCTTGCAAATAACAACTTTTACTATTTGTAAGTAACATTAAAATTATTGCACATCTTATGATTTTTTAATCATATTTTAAATTTTATATAATGATACAATAATAAATTCTACTTTTAAAATTTTTTTGATCGCACAATAATTCTAATAAAAAGCGGATAGCAAAAGGAATATTTTCCGCGAACAAGAATTTCTCCATGACATCATATTTTTGAAAGGAAAAAAAAAAAATCTAAGTAACGCAGTTGGAATACAGTCGCCGTCCACCTCGAGGTCACAAAGTTGACAAACAACGATTGAAACAAATTATAAGGCGGTCGCATACGATCTGCTACTCATAGAAACACAACCAGCGTATCAGAATCCAAAGAAAATATGCAGGGCATTTCTGTCAAATTAACCTTGTACCTTTTTTTCCGCACTGTTCGCTCCTCCGAACGCGCAGCGCCTCCACCACGGAGGACAAAACATTATAAAAGAAGAAGCCAGCTTTTCTGTCCTCGGGCGGCGAATAAAACGAACCGACCAGGTGCGTGGGACCCACAACTTTAAAGAAAGATACTTTTTTATTATCTATATAAGTAGTGCGCTATTGTATATCTTGTAATAATTTTAAAACGTGCAAAAATAAAAATAACTAAATTAAACAGTTCATTTAAAAAAAATATAAGTTTTATAAAGAAATATTTTTTGATGGCAGGTAAATAAATCTCTATATTTTAATTTCGAAATTATTTTTTTAGTCAAATTTAATGAAGCCAAACGAGTGACAATGGCAGTCCATGTAATAAACAAATAACATTACTCCAAAACTCATCTCAAAACTTCTTCAAATATAAATATATAATCTATTTTCACACAATAAATAAAACAATTATTATTAAAAAACATAATTTTCACCTGCAAGTACTCATCTGATACCAACATCTGAAATGAAAAACATTTAGTACATCTAACAAACCAAATTTTTTTTGGAAAAATTTGGGGCCAAAGCCCATGTATTAAAGAAGAAGGTTACACAAACAAATCAAAATAGTTACAAGTATAGAATCCTATACCACCCAGAACCAGAAAGAAAAGAACAACATTTATAAGAAAGAAAATAGTTGGACTCAGCAGCAACAGGTGGATTAGTCAGTATAACGCATGCATCATGACTTCTGCACAAGACTATTAAAAGTTTCACATAAAGTACGGATTGCTTTATAAAACCTTATTCACATAAATATAACTAATATATATATATATATATATATATATATAGGTAGCATAAAAAACCAAGCCGCTTCATAATTGGAATCAATTCTACATAATTTATAAATAATTCATTATAAATAATTCATAAGATTCTATGTGAAGAATACCTAATCACCTCTATTTTATATGGGGACTATTTTTTTTTTTTTTTTTTTTAAGGCTCTATCAATTCATAAGGCTCTATCAATCATAGAGATTTATGAGCACAAATCCCATTAGAAACATAGAGGATGATGAGGCAGGATTTCTAATCACCTCTAATTATCATGCCAACTGCATTTTGCTAGCCATCCAGTCCACTTTGGATGGCTATGATTTACTTAAGAAATCAGTACAGTTTGGAATTACTCTGATTTTGAAACAAGTCTTAGCCATTCAGAATGGATCAGATGGTCCAAATCCAATGTGGAAATCCACCTCTAATATGTTACGTTGAAGAATTCGGCCAGGAATTGTAAAAATCAGTGGCCATACTGATCTTCTTTTAGCTGATCTATCTCATATTCATAAATATTACCATTTCCGTAAGTTTGAATACCTGCGATAAGTCAAAAAAGAATTTGAAATTACAAAAATATCATTTTTAGCTAATGGGAATATTGGAAGTGAAATAATACCTTTTTGACTATGAGATCAGTACAGAAGTTTTCAATAGTTAAGAAACGTTGTTAGGAGTATCAAGCCGTTTCCTTATTTCAACAAGGTAGGATTGAAGATCTGCGAATTCTTTTGTATCTGAGAAGCTAACCGCCTGCAAATTACTACTAGGTTATTCTCCGAATTTATAAGGTGCTACAGTTCTTAATTGGGCTATTAATGAGAACTAAAACCCCCGAAAGACTTCCAAACGACAAGTGGAATGTAAGGGGCTGTTTGGTATCGGATTTACACTAAATCCAGCAAAACAGTATTTTGCATGACTGTAAATCCGGCGACGACGTAAATCCTGGATTTACGGATTTACGCCGCAAATCCGTGAAAATCCATGTAAATCCTAATCCGATTCCTCCGCAGATTTAACGAGATTTACGGTTGATCGGCATATCACCTGCAACTCCCGTGCCGTGATGTTCCCACGAGAGACTTCTGACTGTTTTAAATCTCTAACTGTTTTAAATCCTACAATCTGTTGCCAAACCGGATATCAGGATTTAACATTTATCATACTAAATAGTTTTCAGGATTTAACAGCCTGAGGATTTACTAAATCCGGATTTACAGGATTTACTAAATCCTACTAAATTAAATCCAATCCAATACCAAACAGCCCCTAAGTATGGATGCTGAAAACACATTGGGGAAGAAATTTTGGGAGGCAATAAGTTGGTATTAATTTGTAAAACCCATGTCTGAAACCATCTTCTTTTGTGCTTATTTGGGGGCAATTGAAGAGTTTCACAGCTAACAAGTGTGCAACAGAATATCTACTCACCTGCTTCACAGAGTTCCTTAAATGCATCTCAGCTGCGAAGAGTTCCCGGCGGCCCCCATTGGAGGAAGCTATTTCCATGTAAACATCACAAAGCCGCAAAGAGGCTTGAGCAAATTTCTTAAACCGTGCCAAGTCATGCCATAGATCTGAACCCTGTAAAGAATAATCGAAATGAATGTTAATAGATCTGCCAGTTCACAAATGCAAAAATTAAAATTTTCTGGATTTTACTCAACAACAACAATAACAACATCAAGCTTTTATCGCACTATGTGGGGTAAGCTACATGAATCATTTTTCTCTATTAAGAGTCAAATTCTCATTTTCTCTAATGTGGCTTCTTGTGAGTTCTCTCTAATAAAATCTAAGTTATCTCTCAAAGGTGAATCCTTTTAAGAGTTTATTCAAAAGTTCTTCGACATTGCAATGTTATAATTTCCTGATACATATTAAAAATGCAAATATTGACCTCACTTTTGTTGCACTCAAGTTTAAACATTGCACACGCATCTTGATCGACTTAGAGTGTCCCTGGTACGATCATTGTAATAGTCTCCCTAGTATGCACACCCTATGATTCGAATGTGAACATCCTAATTAGAATCCCACCCTAATCACACACATACGACCACTTGCTCACTAAGTCTAGCACATGTATTAGGTTCAACATACAAACTACACCATTTCGACCTAGTAGATTCTAACCTGCACAATGAGTTGATGAATTGGCTGCTCTATATTGGATCGAGCATGTCTTTCTGCGATCACAATCTTCATTTAATTTTGCATGTTTCATCATCGTTGCGATCTCGTTTAATTGTATCCATTTTATCGTGAATAGGGACTGCGAGTCAACAAAATATATAATCTTTAATACTGAATTGAAATTTTCTATGGCTACCATCATATTACCCTGCATAAAATTCCTATCCCCGAAATTTTCTCTTAAAAATTTCTCTCCATTAGCTTTTTCTTTCCCATATTGCCAAAGCTCGTCATTCACTTACTATCAAAATCAAGTCGATCCAATGTTATTTTGATTTACAGCTTTATTTTCCTCATCAAACAAAATCAACTCTATTGGCTAATAAAATGGGTAAGGGAAGTGAAAATCTATCAGCAACTTCTTCATCTAAAGAAGCTAACATTGCTGTTTAGGATTCAAAAGAGGACCACTGTTTGGGATGATTTTTTTCCCATGGGTGTTTCAGCAATAAGTGAAGCCTTCATTAAAACAAACCATAGATGATGCAGTGGTTGGATGATAACTGAAGGCCAGTTTTTGTTGGTTGATGAAACAAGGGCTCATGTAGGTCTCATTTTACCATGTAAACATACAAGAGTGCACATACACATCACTAAATAACCATACTTTATTTATTTTCTTCCATTTGAAGCATTACCCATTCATTTATTAGGGTAACATAAAATGCATAGACAAAATAGCCTATAATAATTTGTTTAAAGAAGGGCTATGAACAACAGCACATGTCACCTGAATAACGGTATTTGTTTTTAATACATGATAACGGCATTAACTTTGGCCCAAAACAACAACAACAACCAGCTTAAATTCATTCAAATTCCAAATGCAAAACGTTCTAAAGTTGGATTTATTTCAGATATATGGTTCAACCATTGAAGAAACTGAACCTGTAAACTCTTCTATAAGTTTAAGCTGTGCTTGGACATCAGCCCCATGCTGAGGAAAAAAGACTGATGACAGTTAATTATTGCTGAATTCTTGATTGGCCTTATTCCATTACAACTAAAAAAGTTAAAGTTAATAGCACTATCTAATGATGAATTACTTAAATCATCAAATACCTGATACGCCCTAACTTGCTTCAAAAGGGCTTCAGAACACATGGCGAGGTTGCCTTCCAATTTGTGCCACCTTGCATATAGACCCCAAATTTCTTCACCACCACCACCATTTTTAATGATCTAAATGAAAGGACATTAGACAACTGGAATTCGAATTAACATTAAAATTTCAGAAGAAAACAAGGAGACCGTAAAGAACCTCATAGCATATCAAAAGACCAACCATTATGCTGAGTAGGCACAACAGGCATACAGAACATAGAACTAGGGAATTATGGTGTGAAGGATCAAACAACAAAACTAATACTGAAACAAAATAAATAGAGAGAAAAAAAAAACCATCTAGCATGAGCACCTGCTGCAGGACATTGCCAATAATGGACACCAACAAATCCTTCTCTCGTCCTTCCAACGCAGGAACAAGATTTTCTGAATCTCCACAATAATACATATCTGAATCTTCTTGGGATGCACATATATCTTGATCTTTAGTAGCATGAAAAGAAGGTGATGATCTAGAGGTATACTCTTCAATCTTTGCCAGAATCTTATCCAACAAATCAATATCCACTCTCTTATTTGATGACAAGTCGAGTACCATTTTTATTGCCTCAAGTGCCTGACGAAAAAAATGTTTATCGTCACTAAAGAGCATATTTCTATGTTGGGTTCAATTAAACAAACTAAATTTGTACCAAGTAAATCAATATTACTAAACATGGCTGTAGATATTTCATCTAGAAAGGAAGCTCAGTTACACACGCACATATTTTTCCACTGAAAGAGTCAAGATACTTGAAACTAGAAACTTACAATAGAATATCTGTAAATTAATCAAAATAACATTTTTTTCCAAATTGGCATCCGGCAACATTGAGTTCTCCATAAAAAAATACTCACTTGATGAAAGTTGCCAATATCTACAGCAACATGGCTATAATTTTCCCAGAGCTGCCAACTGCTCCTTCTGCAAGTTGTTTTTAATAAGTTAATCCAATGTATATTACGATCAAGAGGCAGACTTCAGCAAGCAGAAAAGTAATGACAGAAACCTGAATTTCAATGCCTCCTTAAAAGCAATGAAAGCTGCTTTGCTTTTCTTATTGATCATATGCCTGAATAGTTCAGTTGAGTTAAAAAGTTAATCCAAAAAAGGTACTGGAAATGATAATCATGCACTCACCCATCAATCATTTATTAAGGATATAATCAGTTAATGAAGTCATTGTTGTTAAACAAAATTATCATAAACTTGCTTTATACATTCATTTCTGATTACAACAATCATGCCTTCAATTATTTGCTCATTTCTAGTAACAAAGATTCTACCTTATCAGACTTCATCACACCTTCACTTTTTTCTTACTTGTAAGACCTTAATAACTAGTAAGTTTAAATAAACAACTACAGTACTATGAAATAACAGGAAAATGACTCGAACTAAAAGACACCATAATATTTTGACAATAAAGGTTTCAGGCTATCCAAGATACATTGTTTTGGGACCTATTTTACCATTGGTAAATAAAAAAAAAACTTGAGGCATTCAACATAACAAAAGGAGACTAAAAAAAGTAGAAAGTGACGAGCATACAAACAAGCAACGTTATTCCAGGCTTCTCCATTTTCAGGATCCAGCTGCACTGCACGAGTAAACCCATCAAGTGCTCTGTCAATATCTCGAGCCTGTAAGTTTCAAATGTTGAGCTTTAGCACATTTTATACTTGCAAAATCTGACAGCATAAAGTTAATTATCTCAAATAATGAAAACATCTAATAACATTCACAACACAGGCCTGAGCCTTATAGTACAAAAAGATCAAACACAATGCAAGACAAAGTAAGAAAATGATTGAAGAGATTTGAGTAAAAACTTTTACAAGTATCAACTGCTCTTCAAGATCAATAAAAGAGCAACATATCCTCACTAACACCAGATTGTGTAACACTGGCAACTTAAGTATAGTAAGATGCATAAAATTGAAGGATAACCTTTAAAGCAGCTGCACCTAGCGCAAACCAACCATCCGGATACAAAGAATTTACTGCCATTGCAGATTCCCTGAAGAAAATATCGCAGAATAAACAATCATTGAGGGTTGAAAAGTTTCTAACAGAGGCAGATAAAAATTAAGATTAGGCTTTGTAATAAAGTATGCCTTCCTCAAAATGAAATATACCATAGAGATTTAGCTATCTCGTAGTTACCCTTGTTGTATGCACTACGAGCTAAAGAACGCTGCAAAAATAGCAGTTGGAACAAGGTACTTAACCCTAAGAAAAAATTCAATCTAAAATTTTAAAACAAATATTCACCATAGCTCGAGCAGACTTATTATTTGATACTTCAAGCGCTTTCTCGTAACAGTCATCATTGGTGGTTACATCACCAAGTGAACACCTGAATTTTTTTACAGAAGAAGAGGTCACAAGTGAACAAAATAAAAAATACTGTAACATAGATTTACAAATATAGGTCTTACAAAGTTAATCTAAACAATACGTTCAAGTGATTTATAATGGCTGAAAGAGTAAAGTTGTCGAACTGGAAGAGTTTAAAATACTAAGACCACTGTAAATCAAGTAGGAGTTGAGGTAATCAATTTCAGCCCAAATGACTCACATTTTACCCCACACAACCAAAATCATAAAATGTTTCATTTTCTGTGTTTCCAGAATGGCAATTACTTTTCCAGATGTCTTCTCAGACTGAAACTACAAAATTACTCTTAATTCAACATACTAACGAATTTTAAATAGGAATTGCAACTAAAGAAGCCTTCCTAGAATCAAAATCTGGATTAGATATAGCCAATTTAGCCATATAACCCGATCAAACTTTGCTTTCTCCCAAATGTACTTTACAAAATTGGAAGAATGCCAAATACAATACTTAATACAGTAACAAAACAAGGACTAAATTGCTTCAATGGCTTAATACTTATGATGAGTTTCTTAAGCATTATCTGCCTCGTACAACCCACCAACCCTGCAAGCCTATGGTTATCTAACTTGCCATAATTGAGCAAACCACAATTACTTGGATTCAAACAAGTATAAAAATTACTATCATTAAATCCTGGAAAGAGTTGCATATAGTGGCTTACTTAATCCCTGGCAGAGATAACAGTAGTTGCCACCCTTTACCCATTGATTAACTTATCAATAGCACTTCATATATAATGGGATGAGCTCTGTGATTTTGCACCTAAACTAAGTAAAAATACATTTGAGTTGTAAATTCAATTTATCTGAATAGTTCATCAATACAAAAAACATAATTAAGATCAATATAAAAAAAGTAAAAAAAAAAAAAATCAAAATTAGGCTTTCTTTGAGTTGGCTCACCATAGTTTTGGGTCGGTGGGAGTTTCGCAGAGCCGTGCATTAATAAGGTCCACAGCTGCTGCTTTTTTGTCCAATAATCTGCAAGAGTAAAACAGTAGATTTATAGCTCCTACTTTAACAAAATGTAAGACCTACAAATAAAATAGGAATAAGATTTAATACCGGTAACAATATATTAGATTGTCCCATAGCTCAAGATCCTCAAAAATCTTTAGTGCCTCTCCAACCATACCACACCCAACAGATAGCTCACCATATTCCCTGAAAAGTTGGTATAAAATGAAGTAGAGAAATTGCAAATTGTGTTATTGAAAGAAAAGGCTATCATGAGAAAATTTGTCCTATGATTACTTCCTCAATGCTGATATAGTCGGTGTATACACACAAAAAGCTACTTGGATCCTTTGAGCAACCACAGGAACTGATTCATAAACAGCTTCAACCTAAGAATGTTCAGGCACATCAAATCAAAGAAAAATTCTCGGAGGAGCAAAATCTCTCATTTAATCACACGAAATAGTCAGCAAAACTGGCATGCATAAAGAATCACACCATTAATTGATTGAAAAAGTTCAAAATAAATGTGAAGCTCTCTGCCAGAAGAATAAACAACAATCTACAAAGCATAAAAGACGGTTTGAAGGGAACTTGGCTCAAGACATAAGAAAACATATTGTATCCTCATCTTTCAAAATAAGCAATTGGGAAACAGGTTCATGGATGCATGACAGCACCTTTCAAGATATAAAATCTCTTCTAAAAGTTGTTCATAGTGTACACACCAGCAAATTAAAAAAATTCCTAAAACTTGAGGGCCTGCTGACTATGGTATTGCTTTCAACAAGAACATAAATGGCCTAAAGTAATGATAAGGTTGCCTTCTGTGTGCCCAAGGGGTTATGATTATAATCACAACATTAGTTATTTTTTAATTTTAAAAATAAAAAAATAGATGATTTTGAGCCAGAAAGATTCAAAACCAAGTTGGCTCAAATTTGGGTTAATTTGAGCTAAGCAAGCTCGAAATTAAAACAATTTGTGCTGGTTTATAAAACTTCAAACTGATTTTGGGTTAAATCGACTTGAGAAAATTCTCATCCCTAGTTAGATGCATTAATCTTTCTAGCTTTTCATTGATCATGGGAGAGACTGAAGATTTTCAGGAGAAGATATATCATTGTAAAAGTGTGATGTATGACTCTATTCATTTATTGATCTTTTATCCTTCTCTATTTTTATTTGCCAAGAATAAATTTGTTTACATGTGTGATTGCTTCTCATCGAATTTGATACAATCTATATTTCTATGATTGCAAGATTTTTAATTGATTGTATAGTTTTATGTTTTTGGATTTCTACACATTATTCTTAGTAGAAGATCGTTAAACTATTATATACATGGATTTTTTGTGTTCTAAGTTTTCATCTAAAGAAATAAAAAGTTATTTAAATAACATGTTTGAGATGTAAGTAATTTTGTGGTGCATAATTTTTATGCTTGTGTATAACATTTACAAGACTTAAACCCTAAGATATCCTGCATCATTGTCTCGTTAAATTATATCCGTTGAAATAAAAAACATAGAGCGTGATTATATAGTTGTGTGCACATATATATGTATGTATATATATCTATAAAAAGCGTCACCGCAAAAATTCTAGAAGAAAGCTATTTAAATTTCAAAAGAATTACATGAGTTGTTATCATATTTTTAATCTTAAATCAAATATAAGTGTCATAATTTATCTGTCATTTTATGCCAGCCATAAACTGAGTAGTAGATAATGATTGACACTTTTGTTATTAATTTACATATATAAATTATGTGTGTCCATTCTACGCTAGCGGCAAAAATTAATGCAAAAAAAAGATCGATACTTTTGTAAATTTTAAGAAAGATGAAAGTATAGGAATGCAGATATTCAGAAAGATACATAAATGCCCGCATAAAATGGGAAATAAACACTAGAGCAATGAGTGCTCTATTAATGTTACTTTACCAGTTTTTCCATCATCAATAAAGCCCGTTGTTTAGTACGATTGCGAGTGGACTCCCATCTAATGCGTAGCATGTCACATGAGTATTTAATCTAGAAAAAAAAAATGTAGCATGAGTTTTCATACTAAGGAGTAAAACAGAAAGGAACTTCACAAAAAAAAAAAAAAAATTTAAAACCATAATGCTCATATATAACTTAAAAACCATCTAACCGAGACTTGTTATATAGCAATAGAGTTCAAATGGAGAGTCATACCAACATAAGTGAAATGCATAAACACAAGATAAAAACTACCATGTGTTTGTCTAGAGAGAGAAAAACTACCAGCAACAAGATATACAGCCAGAGGGTATTAGGAATCAGGATCAGCCATCCAGAAATAATGCGTGGACAGCCCTTGAAAATTTCTATAAGCTAATACAAATAAAATAATAGAAAGGTTTTACATCAAACATGTAAAGTCATTGCTAGATAAAAATTTGAATCTTAACGAGTTTGGTAATCATTAAGCTTAATGCTCACAGTAACTAAATAAACGATTTATTATTTTAATGTTATTTTGATGCCATAACTGTTAGCATCACGTAGAGAACAATGAGTCGTTAAAATTCATTCTCTACTCAAAATAGACTTGGCTGATATCGTTTATATAATTCAAGGAACAGATCAAACATAAACATAAATACTTCCTGTCACTGCATATCCAGATTACAGAACATAATTCTTTTCTGTATTAGGAATCGTTTAATTAATAAAAAGATGAACAGTCACTAAAATATTGCCTATAAGACCACAAATGAAAGCCATAGTCTTTGTATGAGCATGGCATATTCTTACTGATTTCAATAAGTTAAAATTCTAGTTTTATTTACTATAATTTCATAAAGATTTCAATCAAAACACAGCAGAAACCAGGAAAACCTTATGTTTAAACCGTAATATGAACATTTTGGGATAATTGTGGGATACTACAGTTTAACTAAGTTCGCTTAGCTCGATCAATATGATTCCATCATAGCTTAGGCTTAACTAAATCATCATCATCATTGGCTTTACTACACAATTAAGGGTCAACATTATTAATCTTCCTACTACATTCAGTCATGTATCTCTACCCTAAAGTGAGCATGGTCAAACCGCCTTTCTAGTTTCCATCTTCAAAGGTTGCTACTCTCATCATTTTTCATATAAATATTTCTTAAACTATCTTAATTTTACCACACAGCCAATAAATATTTCCTAAACTCATTTCTGCCACACTCAGTTGGTTATAATTGTGTTCGTTGTTACCTAACAATTCAAATCATATAACATAGCAGTCATTTTATAAAGTTCATAATATTCATTTATCGCAGTGTATGCCCAAGGCATTCCAACGATCACATGCAACACATAATGCTGGCTAAAACAAAACTGGAACCTAGGCATATCAAAGTCTTTTGTACACAGCCATTTTTAGTTAATGCCAAAGATGTTCTAGCCAACCAATAAAGGCCAATCATATAACACTTAACATAATTAATCCTCTCAGCCACCATATGTCTGTTTCTGCAACATGCATGTTTCTACAGTCTCCCAATGGACAGCTCCAAATTTCGGCAATTTACTACAATTAAACATATGAGTACATATATGAATGGCATATCCACAAAATTTCCAGAGCGCCACCCACACATAAATACTAGTTTACCATATAGACACATTATAGTTGACATATAGGATGGTCTATACAGTATTCTCAAACTAGACCTTTATTCAAAATGAATAATCAAAATGGTCCCTAGACTTCTTAAGTGCATTCATTTTAGTTCATGTCTTTTTCTAGCGTTCAATTTAATCCACCAACTTAGAAAATTTGAATGAATTTACCCCTACTAACAGCTTTGACTTTTGTTTGACTGTCTCAGTGGAGGGAAGCTTTAAAAGAGGGTATTTCAGATTCTTTTCAGTGTCAATCCTGTTAGTCTAAATTGATATTAAGTGGTAAGATCCCTACAAAGTCCAAAATACCCTCATGTAAATTTTTCCTCCACCAGTTTCAGTTTAAATAAATGGCAAACTTGATGATAGAACCAAATTGATTTAGACTTGAAGAGTTGAGAGATTAGTTTGAACACCTAAAAAAATTTGAGCCTAAAATGAACATACCTAAAAAATATAAAAATAATTTTGATCATTTACTCCACTTCTTCATTGGCCATAAAAGAGTTGAAGTCAAACCTCATCAGACTGCTCAAATCAGTTTAACGGCTGGACTCCCTGATTCTCCTAACAAAATAATGTAGATGTCTTATTGAATCTGACTTTTATCTACATTGCATCACAAAAACTAAAGACTAAATTATACTAAATCTCACTCTCAGATCGAGCACCAGTTAGATGCCCATAATTACCACCTGTTTGGTTGCAGGTATTTGCCAAGTTGCAGAGGAAGATGAGAGAAGCAAGAATAGAGTTGTTCGGAAGCAAAAGTGCCGAATATTTTGTTTTCCATCTATTTACCCTATCATTTGGTCATAGCTCAGTTAAAAGTGGAAAATGCCATTTCACTTGCACAAAAATCATTTTTGGTAGTGAGAAGTACCACTTCTTTTCAATTATGACTGATCAAACACGCCATAAGTACAAGACTTCTATGATCAAAGCTCAGACAACAAAAACTTCCACCAGAAAGTACTATGTAATTGGCTTCAATATCTGACCAATACATAAAACAATTACAATAAGAAAACACTCAAATCCCTATTTCTTGAAAACGGGATCTGGAAGCCCCTTGTCCAAACTCCCTCCTAAAATACGACCACCCAATAAAAAAAAAATCAAATCAACATTAAAAGTAATGCCATGATATAGATAAGCAAAAAGATGATCCTCGCTTTAGTCATTAGAAAAGGAGAAAAAAAAAGATGAGAAACATTTATTCTTACAATGAAACAAGACTGGCTTTGAGAATCGATAGCTTCTATATATGGGGCCATTTCCCACCCTAAAAACAACATCAAATTAAACATGTCAAAAAGTATCAAAATTCAAAAAGCCAAAAAAGAAACATTCACAAGGAATTTAAAAAGCAAACAATGTGGTTGAAACCATTGAAGTAAGAAACACTTTTCTTTGCTATTCATTGATCTCCATTAAGAGGTAAATAACTAAGACGAGCAGTATAACTTATTAGGAGAATAAAAAAGAAAATCGGAAGCATGATACATCCGCATGATGAATACCACATTCAAAGATAAAACTAATTAATTGAAAATACAACCAATTAAGCAACAAAATATAATGTGTATGAAAAAACAATTAGACCAAACTAAAATTGGATGTCCCAAAAGCTTAGACATATCAAACAATATTAGACGGAGACTTGAAATCTTGCTTTGACAGCATTCATCTTTTTTCAGAATGTCCGTGCATAACTCCATGACACTCAGTTTAAATGAAGATTATTCAATTTAGAAGAGATTAAGTCCAGCAAGAAATTGGGATAACAAAACTTCTTCTTCTTCTTTTTTGTTTAAAACAAAAGGATTCTCATTCTTTCATTCAATATGAGTAAACATTATCGGAAGAAAGTTAATGCAAGATGCATGTGAGAACATTGTCGGTTGCCAAAAATGCAAGGAATAGGCATTTTCTAGTTTTAATAGTGAAAGCTTGAGAAGCTACTCCTAAAAAGGAAATTTGTTGTTCAACAGAGATGCGGTACTCTTATATCCTATTCTTTAGCAGTAATGTTAAAACAAATACAAAATACATAGCAATCACCCACCATATAGATTTATATATATAATTTTGAGAGAGATTTGGTATCTAGGCCTAGCCCTCTTCAATGGTAAATTAGATAGATGGTTGAATTTTATGGTCAATTCAAATTTCAATTACAATCAAGCACAAAACATTGTGGTGTGACAGTATGACCACTTTGTTTAACAAAGTTCCCCCATATCCTAAAAAATCTCTTTCACAATAAACTAAGGCACTCAAATAGGTATGAATTTAACCATGTATGGATAGGGCATCCGTTAGTAGGTGGAAGCTCATTAAAAGGTATCAAGAAAATTATGGCAAGATTGTAAAAAATAAAAACTCATAAGAACCATTTCAGAAGAAAGCAACCTACTTGACAATTCATCATCCCGCTTGGTTCTTTGAAGATGAAGGCATTGTGATAATATGATGACCTGTTGGATTGATGTTAACATCACGTCCTTGCCAATGATAGCAAATTCTCCATTGGCTCCGACAGTAGTTGCATCTTGTATCAATCTTGGTGCCATCAAAATATCACATTCATAATGACCATTAGATTTAAAATCTAACCTATTTTTGCAGGAATGATTATCTGACTGCACCCGTGATAATCCTGTAGTTCTTCCAACGCCTTTTTCGCCGTGAATTATGTTGATATCAAGTGCATCAGACTTCTCTTTTCGATCCAGTATTTCTTGACAAACATTTTGCTCTTGAGAGAATGATTCTAAACTTCCATTACCCTTAACTTTCTGACCTGTATTAGCAATAAGTACTAACTGAGGCTTTGCATCCACCTACAGGAAAACACAATTTAGTTGCTTTAAAAATATCGGCTGAGGCTGATGATACCAAATATTAAAAAGTGCAGTAAATTTGAACTACCGTTGAACTATAGAAAGCACCTGGTGGATTGTCCGATAGCCAAGAACTCCAGTAACAGAAAGATTGGTTCCAAACGTCTCAGCAGCACGTGCAAGATGCAACCTACATACAAGACAATATTATTTACAAAAAATAGCATATTCCATTTTAGCGAAAGAAACCCATAAAAAATGTTAGAAAAAGGGCCTCCAATAACATATGTCAATCAAATGAAAAAACAAGGTTTAGTAGTGCAACAATATTTAGTGGAGTTTCCAAAATGCTAAAACGGAGAGACAAAATTTTCAACAATTTTTTCATCAACAATGGAAGCATAATTGCTGGTCAGATTTGATAAGCAGAAAACAATAGTTCTAGAAATGTATATAGTTAATGTAGGACTCTTTATATAACTGTTGATGCTGGAATATGCAATGCATTATATATTCATACATATTGAAACAACAGAGGCAGAAAATGACTCTCAGCTATAAGTTACATATAAACATTAATGCTTTAACAAAGGTGGAAAGAAAACAAGCAAAAGAAATTAATAATGCTCCAGCGAGTAAGTTTATTCATATTCTGAGCATCCTCAAGTAATACAACACTGAAATATCAATCTAGAAACACTGATGAAAAGGAGTGGGAAAAATAATTAAAAGAAATGAAATTGTTCTACCCGATCCTATGATTGGCATAGCCAGTCAGGGTTGTTTGTCCATTAAGCGGTGAAGAAAAAAAACTGCAATCCAATCGCATACAGAAAATGACCCACAAACCCAATAAACAAAACTGCGCTCCAAATCAATCCACTTCACCTAAAACCAACATGACCTCATATTCAAATCCAACATCAGAAAATTTCAACTAGGTTTTCCTAGAAGCCCATCTCCATCACCCGCAAGCCTCAAGTGGCAACTCAACACGATATCCTAGCATGCTTGCACTAATACATCCTGCTTCTCGAAGGCTTCCTTTCTTCAACTTTTACTGCCCTCTCCGTTCTAGCGGTCCCCCAAGGTGGTTCCTCCTTTGACGACAATGTCTTCTAGCATCAACGTACTGCTCCTAGCTCCAGTACCGTCAAATTCGTCTAAGTGGTTTCCCTGCCAATTTTGTTCATCAATCTTATTTCTCTTCTTCATTCACCGTTTGCATTTCCCCAACCAAAATAACTCATGTTAGCATCTTTACTCTATTCATCTTTATTGATTTGATCCAATCAGTGTTTGAGCTCCCAATCCCCATTCTTGAATCGATCCTAACCAGCCCCCTCATCACCTGATCCACCAGCTATGGATTAGTTGTTTCACTATTGGAGCTAATGTTCATTCCCAACCATCTATTCTAATGGTCCTTATTTCTCCTACGATTCCCCCTCCCACTTTGAGACCATTAGTGGTTATCGTTACTCTTAATACCTGCGTTCAGTAATACTTCATTAATGTTGTTGGGGGATGAAGGCTTCAGGATTTCAACACCCATCGTACAGCCATTTCCTTTTGTTTTTTTTAACTAGGACTAGACCCATCTAAACACAGATAACCCTCAACGTTTCAGAATAAACCTACTCTTAGTTTCATTGAAGCTGAGATTTACAAGCAAGCAATTCCATTTTTTAATCTGTGGGCAAATTTTCTAGGGGTCATTCCAATCTTAAACTGATACATAAATTTATGTCAAACTTGCATTGATTAGTGACTCTTTGCTTGGCTTTTGGATCCTCATCATATTCTTATTATATTATCTATAAACTTTTCTCACATCGATCTTACTTTACAATGCACGTGACTACCCAATGCATAAGTTAAAGTGATCTCCTCACTTTGACTCATCCGTTAATGTTGAAGACACCTATCACTCCAATTTTGGTGATTGTTTCTATACTTCATTTACACTGCTTCAATTAATCTGCCATATATTACTTGAGTTCTATTGTTTTAATAATGTATTTCAGGTGGATGCTGTTACTGCTCACTTTTTAGGCTATCATTGACTCGGGATTTAATTGAAATGAACGTTATAATTCCTTTGGATAAGGAGGTTTGGGTTGGTTCAGTTGGTTACACATCGTATAATTATTGGCAGAATATTGCATTTAAAAAGCATACATTCATATTGTTCTCATAAAATTTTTAAGCACAACTTCTCAGATTGTTTCAAGGCTCGGCAAAAACAGAGTAAATCATCTGTTATTGATATTTCCACCCACTTACAAGGCTAACATAATCAGAATCTACATTCAAACATGATGGTTGTAATTCCTTCTAATTTCATATCAAGACTGTATATAAAATTTGGAACCAATTTTATAACTTATCATCAAATTAGAGTCATCCCTTGCTATCCTAAGGAATAAAGATATGACCAATACCTCATCTGCATGCAATAGCATTGATTCAGATCTTCCAAATATGATATCCCCTCACGATAAGCCAATTACTGAGGATGATGGTAACCTAGATAATGAGCAATTTTATGATTCTAATGATATTATTGAGCATCAAAACACAAATATATAGGAGGTTTCAAATCCTATTTGCTAAGAGAGGCAAAAATTGAAAAAATGTATCCCAATTCACCACGGTTCACCAGGCTACAAATAAGGCACAATAAAAAAAGAGCGTTTAAGGATCTTCTCATCCATCAAATGAAAAATTTCTCCTATATCATTATGTTATCTTTAATTGTTCTTTTTTTTTACTATATGATATGGCAATTCTTTACAATTGCATCATGATGTACTCATTGTATTTAATAGTTCTAAAATTAAAAATTAAAAATAAAAAAACCAACAAATTCAAACATTAGCTTCATAAAATAGATGATAAACTATCTTAAGTAAATAAAAGTTTAGATTACTCATATATCAATCGTCCACGAAGAACGAATGTTGTTGTATGTGATTCATACAAGTAACATGATTATTTTTTATGATATTAAGAAATTTTTTTTGCATGAACCAATGAATGGTAAACTCAAACCATATTAAGCTTTCGTGATCAAGGTAGGGCAATTTTTAAAAAGGAGCTGCTTATTAGTGAGAATAAGTAGGAGCATCACGGGCTAAAAATTTAAAAATGAGCAAATTCGTCGAACATCTCGGTGCATTCTAAATGCGTCAATCAAATTGGCGTATTCGCCTAGAGAGAAAAAAGAGAGAGGGAGGGGAGAGGATGACAATAGAGAGAGAGAGAGAGAGAGAGAGAGAGAGAGAGAGAGGGCAGGAAGAGGGAGAAAGCTGACCAGGTGGGAGGAGAGAGGTTTAAATAATCATTATTTTAATATTAGTTAAAATAATTGGAATCATTTTGGGAGAATAGGATTAATGTCTTTGCTATTATTTTAAACATTTTAACTTACATATATATTTAAATAATCATTTTAAATATTTTAACTGATATATATATATATATATATATATATATATATATTTAAATAATTATTTCAATATAAATTAAATTATATTTTAAATGATTATATTTAAAATAATTATTTTAATATTAGTTCAATTCTTTTATATTTAAAATAATCATTTTAATATCAATTAACAATCTCAGCATCAACAACAATCTTTAAAGCTATAATTCTATCTCCAATTTTGTTAATTTTAATAATATCATCCTTCAAAATTTTATCTATAATCACACCTATATCATTTCTAGTACGACTCCTACCCGAATATCATAGTTTATATCCTAAGCTATCAATCAAAACTTACTAAATTTGAACCAATTTAGTTATACTGTCAACTTTTTGTTTCTTTGGACAAAAATTAGAGTGAGGGAATTTTGAACTTTTTATGATCAATATCACTACTTAATAGTTAATACTATCAGGATGACAAATAAACTTCTAGTAAGACCAAATTAGGATAAAGAACAAAGACACCCTCGCGTTCCCTCTCATATTAATAATAAAAGTTCTCATTCTTTTCAATTAATCCAAAAAGACTTATGAGAATCATCAACCATCCCAAATATTTTAGGAGCTCAATGGTTTGTCTTCTTAATTGATGATCATAATAGAGTCATATAGATATTTTTATTAAACAAAAATATGATCGTAGTAGCATGATCCCTAACTTCCACTCCATTATTCATAACCAGTTTTGAGCCAAAAATAAAAAGTTTTAAGTCTGACACAGAAGATGACTTCAATCAATACTTGACCTCCTACTTCAAAAAAGAAGACATTATTCATGGATCATCTTGCATAATAACAGCACAACTAAATAGAGTTACTAAAAGAAAATAAAACTAATTAAATCCACTCGAGTTCTATTATTTCAAGAAAATATTCTAAATCTTATTGGGGGAAAGTAGCCCTTAATGCCACATACATGATAAAAAATGACCCTCACAAACATAGGAATATAAAACTCTCATTGACTACCTTGCCAAATTAACTCCACATGTAAGAAACTCCAATGAATTTATATCCAAAATATTCAATTGTGCCTTTTTTGTGCATTATTAATAGTCAAAATGAAAGTAAATTGGACCCTAGAGATATTAAATGTGTGTTCTTGGCTATTCTTATACGCAAAATAGGTATAAATATCCATTCTTCTTCTATAAAAGTTCACAAATCAATTGATATAAATTTTATTAATAACAAACCACACTTCACACAACTTATTTTCAAAGGAAGATTTCACTTATGGTAAAAAATGTAATCAATATTTTAGCCCAACTAAACTACATTCTACTCCATTTTTGCCATCTTAGAAACAAAATGTTCCTAGCCCCATTGAGTTTGTCTCTAAATGTGAACGTGTACCAGAAACCATACCCACTTATGTTACTCTAAAATATGTTCAAATTTATGACCATATAAGATTTTTGGAGGCATACTCAAAAAGAAGAATTGCACCATGCTTGACACAAGTTCAAAATACAACCCTAAGCTCTGTTAATGAATATATGTTAAGTTTGGAGTTTCCTTTGCATAAAGGATCTATTGAAACTCAGCCAAAAAAAGGCCTTGATCTTTGCATTAATGCTATAAAAATTAAAAAGCATTAGAACATGCACAAAATAATATTTGCATCTATAAATAAACTTTGTTATGCTGCATTATACCTTTCTCACTCCATAGAAGTTTTATTCTAAACAGTATTTCTATTCCAAAAACTTTATCTGAAGTATTATCAAGACAAATAAAAAAATGCAATGAGTGAAGAAATGAATGCATGCAGGTAAAAAAACAAATTGGAGAATGTTAATAAACCTAAAAGAGAATAATATACTAGGTTACAAAAGGGATTTTACCTTGAAATACAAGGATAATGGCGTTATTGAAAGATACAAGGCAAATATCAGTTGTTAAAGGTTACATTGAGACATATGGAGTTCAATATCAAGAAACTTATGCCCTTGTGTTAAAAATGAACATTTTGAGTATTTTGAAATCCCTTGAAGCTCACTTTAATTTGCAAATTCAACAAATAATGTGAAGAATGTCTTCTTATTTGGAGACCAAGAATAAAAAATATACATGAACATTCCTATTGAATTTGAATTAACTGGAACAATTAATATGCTAAACTAAAGAAAGCACTATATAGGCTAAAGCAATCATCCAGATCATGTTTGGAAGATTGGTCAGGTAATGAAAGCAATAGACATAGTAAAGACGACCATGCTCTCTTCATCAAACATTTGTACATAGTGGAAGTAAATGATCTCCTGGTGTGTGTGTGTATTATATCATTATTACAGGAAATAAAATCTGAAACAACATTTGATTAAGAAACTTAAGATTAAAAACCTTAAGAAACTGAAGTATTTTCTTGGAATTGAAATATCAAACTCAATATATATATATATATATATATATATTCTATCATAGTAGAAAAATGTAACAAACCTCTTGAAAGAAAATAGAAAGGTAGGTTACTAACCTGCAACTGTACCTACTGAGTGAAATAAAAAATTAGAAGCAAAAGAAGAATCAACAGTTCACAGGAAATGAATAAAAAATTGGTAGGAAAGCTCATCTAGCTTGCCCATACTCAACCAAGTCTTGCATAAATAGTAAATGTGATTAGTCAATTCATGCATAGTTAAAGAGAAACACATTTGCAAGTTGATGTGCTATACTAATTGAAAGATATATCGGGATGAGGAGTTTTACTTAAGCGAAATAATGAGTTCACATTAGAAGCTTACATAGATGAGATTTATGAAGGCTCAATAGTGGATAGAAAATCAACTTCTAGTTATGACACATTTCCTGGTAGAAATTTGGTGACGAGTAAAAATTAAATATCATGGATGGGTCTAATGGAAATTTTGAATTCATGGCTACGGCCGAAGAAAATTTTGAATTATTATGATTGAAAATTAGTTTGGAAAAGTTAAGAATTAAGTGAGAAGGCCCTATGAAGTTGCGAAATGATAACAAGTCAACAATAAATATCAATCATAATTTTGTATAATATGATAGAACAAAATATATTGAGATTGACTAGCATTTTATCAATGAGAAGCTAACAGAAAGGCTAATTTGTTTGCCTTATGAACCCTCAGAAAGCCCGCTAAAATGTCTTTATCAAGGGACTCAATAGCGCAATTTTCTATTCTCCAACTTAATAAGGAGTGTAGAAGTCTTAGAGCCAAAAAGGAAATCGCATAAAGTCCCAAGATATCCTAAATGGTAGCTATATGCTTTGAAGGACTTGAAAGCACTATTTGGATAGTCCAACTTGCATTGACATGAATTGAAGTACCCGACAAACACCATTTTGGCAGTCTAGCTTGTATTGACCTCTGAATAAACATTACACTTGTTGTTGATACGAAGTTATGATAGTTATTATGTCTAAATGCAATTTCAGTTTAAGGTATAAAACCCTACATATTCTTCTCATTTTGGTGTACAGAAATTATCTTTTTTTTTTTCTTCTCCCTTGAAAAATCCAAATATATTGACATGTATGTATTACCTGAAATGATAAAGAAAATAATCCATTTTTCATGAATAATTTTTAAAAAGGTAAAATCAAAATCAAAATAATAATAATAATAATAATAATAGGGACTAAAAGATCAATGCTAAGTATATAATGTGTAATTTTAGTTATAACGAAATTGATAATAAATTTGAAAAGTTCTGGAAGCCAAAGCAATATATATATATGTGCATGATAGCTTTGAATATCATTAACCAATTATGCCAAAAAAAAAAAAAAGGAAAATTTATGAACCTCAACTCATGGAGTTAAACTTGATGGTTAAAAATGGAGAAGTAACAAAGTGATGATAAAATTATAAAAATTTAGAGGTAAATTTATTAAATTGCAATTGAACTAGTATTTGTTGAACTTAATCTCAGCTCCATCAACACAGGTTCAGGCTTGAGCTGCTTGACCCAGCCTACAGTCCCAACAAGGCAACGAATATAGCCCTCTTCAGCATTTTTTTTGTCCAAAAAAGCATATAAATAAAAAGCACCAATGGAAATACCTCGATGAATCAATTCTTCCATAATGATATTCTATTATCCCTGCTTCTACTTGCAATATGGTTGCTATAGCCAGGGCTTCTTTTTCATGTAATACTGCACCCCAATATTTAACGACATCCTTCGCCTCACCAAATTGAAGTAAGGCTTCATTTTTAAATACTTGCAGCAGATTGTATAATGATGATGACAGGTCATCCAAAATTCTTTGCTGAAGGAGAAATACTCTACACAACCACCAAGATGTAGTCTTGGCTGAATTTGTACAGAAGTCTTTTATCTTCAGCAATATCACCTTCGCATGCTCAAGGTACTGAAAGCAAGAAATTAATCAGATGTTTCAATGTATGTAAAACATGGGAAGATGTTGCAATGTATGTAAAACATGAAAGTTAGCTTTCTGTGGCATTTCATTCACCCATCTTAATTCAATTAAGATAAATCTTCCAACAGTGTGTGCTATGTGATTGTTAAGAACTATTAATACCAGCGCCATGCAAAGGTAGATGTAATCCAAGAAGAACAAAAGTCTATCAGGATATAAGGATAAAAAACCTAACTTTCAAGTCATGAAAAGGTTTTCTGCAGCGTTAAAGGAATTTTTCACCTGTCATTGAGAAGAAAGCGGAAATGACTAAAGTCTGACTACTAAAAAAAGTCAAAAAGTGGGTTCCCGCATATTTTGTTAGATTCCTAGTTATAATATCGCTTTGTATAAATGTTCTTACAAGCAATCAGTAGTAGAGCATCATTCAAATGAAATGTAACATCTTCAGTTCGCTTGAGACTAAAGCATTCAATTTCAATAAGAACGCTGATGCACAGTTGATCTTGTACTTCAATGCATAAAGAAAATAAATAGTCAAAGTAAAACACTTAACAAAGAAGATTCTTAAGTGGATTTTTTTAAAGTCCAAACAGCTGAAACTTGAGCGCAAAGAAAAAAAAGCCTGCTCGAGCTTTCTTTTGTGTCTAATCTCTGTATTTTTGGTTGGAGCAGCAGTTAGGTGAACTATATTTAAGCGATGAAAAAATAGGATTGTTTTTTTACTTCTGGCGCATCAGCGTAATTGTGCTCTAAACATTTCTGTATCAACATTTACCCTGATTTCTTCTGTGTCTTAATGCATAATGTTTAACACACTCAACCCTTTCCATAAAGGCTTCACTCCATGCTCATCTTCCAGCTTTTTTTTTTTTTAACTAAAGGCACTGTTAGATTGTTCTCCACTACATCACGTTTCTTTAAATTGCTTGGTATGACCCTTTATGTAAGACACGATGGTATGGCTTAAAAGCTCTTATAAATTACCCCTATGCCTTGTGTAATTTACATTGAAAAAAAGGTCCAAGGTGTGCCTTACATCATACAACAATGACCATGGAAAAGCACATGCACCTTAAACATATAAGGTTAAATGTAGATATAAGGCACAAAAGTAATATTATATAGCAGCATTAGACAATGGCATTTGTAGCGGCTCCAGGTAACACTTCTACTATCATAATTAAAAGCGCAAACCTGCAAAAAGGAAAATTTCCCCAGCAGATCACAACCAACAGATGTAAGTTGACTCCGAGCCCATGAATCCCATTCTGCACCATTTCCAACATCCCCAAATTCCCCGTATGGCAGAGGGAAATGAGAAAACTTTCCAACAGGCCTATCACATTAAATAGAGCATCAAGGGAGTTAGATCCAAGGTTAGTAGAAAACCAGTTTACATGAACATATTATAATAATAATAATAATAATAATAATACAAGTAAAACTTGAAAAAACAAAAAGCAAAGCCTAACTAATAGGCAAATTGAGTTGAAATGGAAGCAAAACAAGATGTTTAATCCCATGAGAGCATTGGATTTAATCAAATCGGATTGGTGAAAATTAAGTCAGCATAAAAATACCAAGTGCTTAACCCTCAAGGTTTTGAGTAGAAAAAGGTTTGACCACCTAAATATACTATCTGAAGAGAGGCACCATAAAAGATGGTTAGACCAGGATCATCAAGAGATTAATGCAGTTTATGATCGCTATGAATCTTTAAAGCCATTTACCATAGTTGAGAAAGGTTTTGTTAAAAATACGACAATGTCATCGATGTGGAGAGCTCTAATGTGATGGGATAAATAAAAGTCACATCAGAGCATTAGGTACTTAGAATGCATAAAAAATACTTGAGTGTAGAAATAGAAAATAACTTATATTGTAAAATTACGTAGCTACTTGCCAAATGATTGAAATCTTCTCAACTTCAATACTTATGAGCAGAAGAATCAAAACAAAAATGTGAGACTTACGACCCTACCTATAGATAAGGCTTCTAACTCGAGTGCATAATGCATTTATGATAATAAATTTAATTATAAAAAAGAGATTTTGTGAAGTTTCAAAATGATTGTCTGCATTTTGGAATAGTTGCACGATTATCGAAGTTGAGTAAATTTGATTTCTAACTTATTTTTAGTCTGTGCAACATCCTCAAACATTACGTTCAACTGTTCAAGCATTTAACACATTTTTTATCACAAGCATACAACTTACTTCTACTGATTTGGCATGCTTTCAAAGGATATATAAATGATATTTTCAAAAATTATTGCGACTCTTTATTATTAGCATGCTTATTGAAGAAATTGCACACTTCTTAAAGTAATTATACGTTTCTCGAGCAATTGTACGCTTCTGAAGTAGTTGCATACTGCTAAAGGCTTTTGCATTTGAGTTAAAAAGAGGGCATAAACGTTAGTTGGTGGATTTGATTTCTTTTTATTGAAAATAGTTTTAGAATTTTTAAATTTATTGCATATTTTCAGAGTAAGGTTAACTTGAGTTTATCTTTATCTTTAGCCCACATGATATTCTGAAATCTAAATTTGGACACTAACACATTACTAAAAGCACATGTGGGTGAATTCATTTTCAAAGGTTTGAACATCTACACGCTACTTGATGCATTTTCATACTATGCTTGCACACTTTTCAATATATTTACATAATACACTTGCACATTTTTTAATGCATTTATACAATATACTTGCTCATTCTTCAATGTGTTTACTTTATGTACTTACATGCCTTTGGCGCATTTGCACAGTGTAATTGCATGATTTTTTATGTATTTGCATAGACACTTGTGTGTTTTTCAGTACATTGTGTGACATAGTTACACACTTTTCTATAAATTTGCATAATACACTTGCATATTTATCAGTGCACTTACATGACGAACTTGCACATTTTGTAGAAACATGTGTGATGCGCTTGCATGATATTTAGTGAGCTTGCACACTTCTCGGTATATGTACATGATACACTTGTACGCTTTATGAGAAATGACGCTCGAGTTTGAGAACGATATGTGCATGACTTGAAAATATCCAAATTTTGATTATTTAGTATTTATACGAATGTTTGCTATTGAAATGCGAGCAAAATTTCTTACAAAACTTCAAATTTCACCAGTTGTCTTCCCCTATAAAAAGAAGGGTTGAAATAGCTTATCTACACCATTTGAGTTGACGTTCATAGAATTCTACGAAAGTTTCGAGTGTTCTAAGAGTATGGGATGCTCTATTTATACTTGTAGGTTGCATTTTCTATAAATCCCCTTTAAGTCCATTTGGTATTCAATATTCGCAATATTTTTCTCATTTTGAAAATTTTCTTTTTGTCCTCATTTTTTAATTTTTTTTCATATTCTTCCATCCTAACTTTTTATTCGCATTCATTTCCATAAATACCCAGCATATTCTTCTTTCAAGTTTGTTCAGTCCAAGTTCCGAAAACCTCAAGGCATCCATCCCATATAGGAGGTATCTATATGGGTTTGGATTTACCCACCACGACAAGAAAAGCATGTAAAGTTATTGTTCTGAAATATTGTGACCAAAATCTTTAACACCCATCGCATCAAGAAAGGTGTGCCCAAGTTTCCTGCACGAGAAAATTTACAACACAATAAATTTTCATGTCATGCTAAGAAATATGTGCATAAGATGTACTGTTGCATCGCAAGCATCACATACAAGTTTTCCTTGTCGTGCTAAGAAAAATTCACACAAGTCACACTCTTCACGCAAAACAAGCTGCAATCAAAATTTTAAAAGTTTTTAAGGGGTTGAATATTATACCTTTATGCATTAGACGTGAAGACGATAATGAAATAGTGAATCAATGAAATTTGTGGCAAGGCTACACACACACACACACACACACACATATATATATATATATATATATATATATATATAACAAAGAGATAAAGGGAGAATTGAGAGAGACAGAGAGAAGGAGAAGAGGTGATGGTTGGCTTAAGTTGTTGGGAAAGGGAATGGCTAGCCACAGTGTATGCAAAAAAAATAGTTGAAGTGGTGGCGTTGGGAGTTCGGATCAGCGACAAGTGTCAAGAAATTGGACATCGCAGGATTTGGATGAAAAGATGGGTTGGTGAAGGTGTAGTTGGTTGGGCTTGGGTTTTAATGAAGTAGAGAGGGATGAGGCAACTACAGTTGGGAGGAGTTCATGAGAGGACCTTGCACTTTGAGGAGCGGGCAAGGATTTAAAATGGCTCTTCGATGGGTACTAGTCAACGCTAGGAGCTATGACTGAGAGAGAGAAGAGGAAAAGGTGAAATCATCGGCGAGGGTTGAGTGGAACAGAGGAAAGTAGAGGTGGAGTTAATAATTGGCGTAAGCGGGTTGAATTACTACCCGCAGTTAAGCAGCTTCAACAAGTTTGGAAAAATTCAATATGATAAAATTCAAAAATGGTGTAAAAAATATACAATGCAATTATTGCAAACTATAAATGAATAGGGACATTTTTTAAGTGAGTTGTTTTTCATCCTTAAATGGGTTTGAAGCATTTGATTATTTTTTGAATTTCTTAATTGTAGTAAATCATCTTATAACTTTTATGAGATTAAATGTGCAGCCATTTTAAGGAGTTATTGTCAGCTTGTTTAACAATGAATATTACTTATCAAAGTAAATATTAACATTTCATTTTTAGCTTTCTAATTTTTTATATTAACTATTTCATTATTAGTGAATTTGCATATTGATTTGATACAATCCCTTTTTATGTCTCAATTTTTAAATACTGAAAAAACAAAAAGTATATGCCTTATAAGATATAGAATCTCAACTCAACTTAAACCTCAAAGTATAAGCATCAAAAGATATAGAGTTTCCACTTCTTTAGGAATATCAAGAAAGCGTGTTAATTCAAACGCCTTAAAGAGCACCTAATGTTAGACAAGATCTTTATTAAAGATTCTCTATAGAAACTATCATATCAGAACACATAAAGATAGGAAATAAAGACTACGTAACTCAATCATTCAAGAGACCAAGTTCACGCCATTTCAGCTGTTGGTAGCGCCTCTTGCTACTAATTTAATGGTCTCACTCTAACAACCCGAAATTTTAACACCACCCCAAAGTCGAGGGGTTTCACATCAATATAAAAACTACCATATCATAATGTAGAGAGATGGTAAGAGCTACCAAAATCATTCGAGAGATCAAGTCCACGCCATTTCAGCTGGCAGCAATGCCTCTTGTTACTAATTTAAAGGTCTCACTCTACCAGCCTAAAATTCTAACACTACCCAAAAGTCTAGAGGTTTCACATCAATCTCATAGATATCATGACTTAGTCTCCTCTAACGGAAAAACACCAAAGAAACTAGTCACTATTATACATGAGCACATGACTCAAGTGTCATCCCTCTCAATATTACAATCAAATCAATATTCAATACAAGCTTCTCAGACATCCTAAGAAGCTAAAGAGAAACACATCACCTCTTTCAAAATATAGCATTGTTTGATAAATGTTCAACTTCAAAGAAGAATAAATCATCCTTTACCTAGCCAAAGTCATATTTCCAATCGATAAAGAGCCTTTTAAAGAAACCCTGGATCATTGAAAAAATATTACTTTGTACCAAGGTACAGCCTAAACACCACTAATAATGGAGAACAAAATAACATTGATTGTTGTCATTGTCTACTTTTATCAGATTATATTTCTACAAGATGTACAACTAAACACGTCTAAATAAAGGACAAAAGCTTAAGATAAATTTCTACCTCCTTCGAAGCACACACCCAGTTCAACAAAAACAAATAGTCTAATATCATAATTTATGAACTTAAAATTCTCATACTCTCATCAGTTAGAAGATCTTTTTTTATATCATCATTTTAATTTAATAATTTTCTCGCCTACCTCATACTAAAAGTAAGAAAATGAGTTCCAGTAACAAAAGGAGAAGAAGCGGTGGCGAAGCAGCAATGGCAACATAACAGGAACAAGTGCGGGTATGAGGTTTTTGCAACGTGTTGTTGGGAGTTTGAGATTGTACAGTTCTTCTCAAGTTTTCTTTAATTTATGTATTGTAAATATGTTAAGTTATATGTAAAAACTTTATAAATTCAAATTTTAAAATGACTTAAATCCTAATTTTCAAGTCTTAAATCTCTTCAAAAAAGTATTAAAATTGCGTTAAGGCATGCCTCGAGGAGCGTGTCACCCCAACTAAGGCGTAAACCTCATCTGGCAAGCATGAGACAGACCTCTCATTGCCTCTCTTTTTTTATTGAATTGAGGCAAGTTTTGAGGCACGCCTCTAATTACATAATTTAAAACCATGTTAAAAAATGAATGTCTAAAATATCCAATTAATAAAAAGGGATCAACTTGTATTGTTTGATAGAGATAATGTAGCATCTTGATTTCTTTTTGAAATAACCAAAGTGTCCCATCCAAAGACTTATACATAATACATAAATTTATATATTTAAGAGTAATGGAGAAAACAGAAATATGAGACTCAAATAATTCTATAGACCTATCTGTTGTCATTCATCATCCACCACTAACCACTATCGATGTCCATTCTTGACTGCTAACACCAGCATCAATCGCTCAATATCTGCTATCGCCAAAACCCTCCTTCAACCACTCAACCTTTGATGCTACTGACACCAAATAAACTTCTATCACCTTTTCACATCCACCCAATGTCATTGAAGATCCATGTGCGTCCAACACAAGTCACCTTGCATTGCAATCTCGCCTTCTCTGGTTACAAAGAAAGGTGGATTACTATAACTCTTAACAAATATAGTGAAATTATTTCAATTTAGCTAGAACTCATGATTTTTTCTCTTCTGATGCCTTTTCAAATTTTCAAATTATATATATATATATATATATATATCACATAAAAAAATTATCTTGACCATGCACAAATCTTGATGCAAATGTGAATTGAAAACTTCCAAAATTAAATCCGGTACCATCCGAACTACAATTTTAGCAAACTTATAGTTAAATTGCATGTCTTGAAGAGATGAACCCAACGACACCAAAATCGGCCCAATCTGAACCAAAATGGGTCCAAATCGAAAGCTCAAAGCTTATTTGGAAGTTTCATAACATTAATTGGATGATCAAATGATATTCAAATGTGACATGCTTATAACTGAATCAAGCGGCTCGTCTAGAAGAATCCAACGAGCCCAAGATCGCCGAATTCTAACATCATTAGACATTCAAATGCTCGATAAATGATTTGTCGTCCATTGAAACACTCCCAACGTGTCATTTATCTTCCCCATATTTACTAACCATGTCACTCTCAAAAAATTATAAATAAAAGCCTCATTCTTCACAAAAAGGAGGGGTAAGAGAAGAAAAATGAATGATCTCTCTCAAGCTTGCACCACCAGCTGAATCTCTTCCCGACCATCACCGAACTCTTGGGAGTGGCATGATTATTGTCCTTCCAACCAACGTCGCTCCTTGACTACATTTCTTCCGACCATCATCACCAGCCGACTGCTGTTCTTTCGACCACGGTCGCATTCAACTACAATTCTTCTTACCATTATCACTCGTTGACTACGGTCCTTCCAAGCACCGTCACCCGCTGACTACACTCCTTCCGACCAATGTCGTTAGCTGATTAAGGTCCTTCTGACCACCGTCGCCTGCCGACAAAGGTCTTTTTGACCAACATCACTCGTTGACTACAACAATTCTGATCACTGTCGCCTGCAGACTACGATCCTTAAGACCAAAATCGCTTACCGACTACGTCCTTTCGACCATTGTCGCACTTCAACTACAATCATTCCGGCCACCATCGCCCACCTACTACTGCCCTTCCAACCATTTTTGCCCGCCGACTACGATCCTTCCGACCAATGTCGCTCATTGACTACAGTCCTTCCGACCACCGTCATCTACCGATCATCTATCGACTATAGTCTTTCCGACCAATGTCATGTAATAACTCGTATGTTAACTCTGCCAAATATTTTTTTGGAGTAAATATAAGTCCAAATCACATATCGTCTTCGTCATAACATTGTTATTGTAGTATTTTACTTACACTATTTTTTTCGTAATTTGTGGCCATTAGTGAAAATCTTTAAGAAATTGACACATGTCAGTCAATTGGTGATTTTTGGACCATCAAGTGTTTATTTTGCAAACTGATTTCACTAATATTTTTTAAATAAAATGATTTATTTTATGAATATTTTTCAATAATTTATTCTAAAAGAAATTGATTTAATTAATTATATAGTATTAAATATTATTTTAATTTAAATATCCTAATCCACTGTTAACATTTATTAAAACCATTTGTTTTTCTTCATTCGGCCCGAACAAAGAAATGGTTTGAGATTTTAAGAAAGAAAACAAAAGAGAGAAGAAAAGCTTGGATTTGGAGATTGCGGAGTAATTTTGTCGATTTGGAGATTTCCTCATCTTGTTTTAAGGAACATTTACCCTATTTTTTTATTTCAAATATTTTGTGTTTTTGATATTTTCTAATCAAATTTATATTCCCATTGCTGAAAAATAACGATAATTTTGTATTTGTAAAACTTTTATAGTGTAACTTTTTATATGTTATAAAAAATGATATTATAAATGTTTTGAATATTTATTTGATATTTTTCACTCAATAATTTAGAAAAATAGCTATTTAGTTCAACTGAAGCTTCATAATGTTATTTTATGCAATATTTGGCAATTTGGTTAAATTATGAAAATATGAATTTTTTTTAGTATGATTTTTTTTGTCTGCCGTTAGAACATTTTAACATTTTCTGAATTAAGCTCAATTATGTTTTATTTATTACAATGCATTGAAAATGAATGTGCATATGTGATTAAGTAATAGTTGGTCGTTATTACTATTATAATGTGATAATAATGTGTGTAAAAGACAAGTAAAGTTTGGTTGACCCGTTCGTTGGATATTGATTGACCTGTACATGATAGCGGACCGGCGGACTTTCTTGTAAATATTTTGATTTGGTGCTATCCGCTACTAATTCATGTGATACACTGATTGAGAGTTATAAGGAGATGATTACTATGTCGACGGGCAAAGAGTGACGACTCAGCTTACTAAGTCAAAGGTTTACTAACATTAATATAATACTGAAAAATACTGTGATAGCTAGAATTCTTACTTGTTTAGTATTACTACTGAAATGAATGTTATTGAGGCATTATTTATATTATTATACAGATTTATTATTAACATTGTTCTTGATTTATTAATACAAAAAATATGATATATTCATTAAGCAAGTGATATGGATCATATATTTAACATGTGATTAAGATATTTATTTAATATTGATATAGAATAACTTGATAATATATGTATATTCCTATATGATTTTACTACATTAATTTGATTTAAACAATATTTACTAATATTTTGATTTGATGTTTTATCTGATTTATGTACTAATTGGTATTATAAATACGACGATTATTTTATAAATTTGACACTCGTATTGATTTACTACTTTACTGGATTATGTATCGCAGTGTCTTACAGTTTATAGATTTTACTACTACTACATGTAAATTTTACTATTTCTGTACTAATTCAATGATCATATGAATATTATTGTTATGATTTGAATCCCTGACATGCATATTGCTCATTTACCGTGTTTGAATTCAGTTGTAAGTTTTGGTGACCTGATGGACTTTTTAGCTTATTATATATGGTTAAATGATTTTAAGTCAAGATAGAGGATCAGAAGTGTGAAACTGGTCAGGATTCTTCAGATTTTACTTATTTTTGTTTTAGTTATTCTTTTATACTCATGATAGGTCAGGATTCTTCAGATTTTACTTATTTTTGTTTTAGTTATTCTTTTATACTCATTATAGAATAATTATGACATGATTGTATAGATTCTGAGTAGTGTATATAATTTTTGAGAATTGAATACAAATGTATATATTGATGTTATGATTTATTTTTTTTATTTTAACTGCTATTGATATTGATAAAAAAATAGGTAGCTATGGTTGTTGATTAAAATATAAAAGAATAATTCTTCCAAATTAGATTCTGGGGCATCACATGTCACCCGCCGACTGCAGTCTTTTTAACCGCTGTCACTCGTTGACTACTGTCCTTCCGACCACCGTCGACCTCTAACTACAATCCCACCGATCTTCGTCGCCCGTCAACTACAGTTCTTTCGATCATCATCGCCCGTTGACTACAATCCTTCCAATCATTGTCGCCAACCGACTACGGTCCTTCCGACTATTGCCGCCTGCCGACTACGATCCTTCTAAACACCGTCGCCCACCGACTACGGCCCTACTTATCAAATAAATATGCCAACACTCTCTTAAGAACTACTTCCATGTAATGCACTTTATACAAAATGTCACTTTCTAAGCTTCAGTTTAATGATATGCATGTTTGTTGAATATTCATGTAACTCTACATAATAAAATCACCCTATACAATATCATAGCACTCAATAAAAATCCATATTAACTTCTGAATGCTTCAAGCCAAATGACGGAACTTAGTAAACCCACCGTTCTACAAAACATGTTTTCTAAAATCAAGCAACCATAGAAGGGCATGGAACCGGCCAATGATACTCACCCGGTCACATTCTGTTGCAGGAAAGCCAGAAGGGCTGCAACTCCAAGACAAAGCACCACCGCAACCCTATACTCCGTGTTGGCATCAACCCTCGCGTCGAGAACTCGAAGCCAGGGCTCCTCGTAGGCACCATCGCAAAGAAAAGCGTCGATGCTCCTTTCTACTTGGCTGTAGAAAAGCGCGGCGGAAGTGGTTGAGTCGTCGAACTCCCAGGAATTCGCAAAGCTGAAAACAAGACGGGCAGCATCTGATGAGAGTGCCGCCGCGTAATCCCCACGTTCGATGGCGCCGAGTACGTCATATGTTAGAGGATGGAGAGTGCTTTCCTGATTGGGATGTGGAGAACATGAAGGAAGAGGGAGATCGCCAGAGATGGTGCAACGAAGAAGGCGTAGCTCGACGGATTTGAGGATGCCATGCTCGGATTCTGCCATGCTGCGCGCGAAGGGGATAATGTTAGGGGTTCTGGTAGGTTTTTGTGCGCGCGTTAAATCCCGGCGATGGATAAATCCCGGATTTCAGCCAAAAAAAATTCAGGATTTACGGCATAAATCCGGGATTTACTAAGGGGCTGTTTGGTTGCCTGTAAAGTAAAAACAGTGTAAAAAAATACAGTGTAAAATAAATATAGTGCATTCTAAATACTTTGAGGCTGTTTGGTTGTCTGCAAAGTAAACGCAGGAGAACGGTTTCCTTTGTTTGGTTAGATATATCCAAAATAAAGTAAAAGTAGTGTATTTATAATATTTTTTTGTCATTATAACTAGTGTACTAGTCTATAAAAGCGCCATGTTTCTTGGAAGCTCACATTATTGAGTAATTTTAAACATGTAGAAATAATATAAGATCTTTCTTATGTAGAAACTTTTAAATCACATGGAGATGCCATAATGGGCTTGTTGACAATTTTCTATCATCGTTAAAAAATCATTTCAAGAAAAATAAAATTAGAGCTTTTTTTTTTTTGTGAAATGATATAAATATTAATAAAATTTGCTTCATATAGAGCACTGGAACTAAAAGAAAAAAAGCCCTCCCAATTACTATCATTTTATCTTCAGAAAAAAAAAATCAGGGGAGACAAAAAGTAAGAGCAGGGCTTCACCTCGAAGAATCCCCAGTTCTCACAGGCATCTCGAAGAACAGCCATGGCGACCGAGCGCTTAGAACCCCCAAGAAGCTCCATGTTAATCACTGGGAAGCTTCTGCTCTCCATCTCTCTCTTTCTCTTTGTATATCTCAGCGTTTTCAGAAGAAGCAGAGCAGGAAGGAAACCAGAGAGAGAGAGAGTGAGAGAAATAGAGAGGCTAGTTTCTCTCTTTTAGGATATGAAAGGGAACGTCGTCGAAGGAGCGAAATATACCGCGAAAGGGATAAATTTACCTTCAGAAAGTCCGAGCTTCCGCCCTTACTTCTGATGGAAATGTTGCAACTTCCGATCAGGCAAACGTAACGTCGTCGAAGGGGCGAAGTAGAACAAGAACGAAGGAGCCGTAGAAGCCTCTCGTGCAATCTTACACCTCCTGCGAAGCAATGAAGCCGAACAACAACGACGATGCGAACTTGCGAGCTCCCGTCCTTACTTCCGATGAAAATGGCGCAACTTCCGATCGTACAGGCAGGCAAAGGGAACATCGTCGTCGCGCGAAGTCTAAGAAGAAGGAAGGAGCCGAAGAAGCCTCTCGTGAAATCTTACACCACCTGCGAAGCAATGAAGCCGAACAGCAACGACGAGGCATTTTCGTCGAGTGTATTTATAACCCACTCAATATGAGCGGGTTTCGAATTCCCGCAAAACAGCCACTCTAATACACGCCTAATACATCGGGCAGTTTTCTTTTGTTGCGCTCAAAGTTAAGCAAACAACCTAATTTAGTAAATACATGTATTTGTTTTACTTTACACTCCTAATTCAGACAACCAAACAGCCCCTAAATCCCTCGGTTCGGCGGATTTACGGGATTTGGCCGAAGAAGCGCGTGAAAGGGAGAAAGTTTTACCTTCACAGCCAGCGAGCTCCAGTTGTTGCTTCCAATCAAAATTTCGTAACTTCTGATCCGACAAAAAGGGAAAGTCGTCGAAGGAGCGTAGTCGAACAGCCACGAAAGAGCCGAAGAAGCTACGCGCGCTATCTCTACACCTCCTGCGAAGCAATGAAGCCGAACTGCAACGACGAAAAGAGGCAAACTTTAAAAGCCTCTAAGTTATTATTGATTAACTTAATTAATATAATTTAAAATATTAATAATTAAGTAAATTAATTAAATAATTTTTAGTATAATTAGTGTATAAATTAATTATCTTATTTAACTTAATTGAATAATTAATTAATAAATATTAATATAATTAGTTTAGTTAATAAATCTTAAAATATATAATTGATAGTGTAACATAAACAAGTAATTTAATAAATAATATTATAATCAGTAATTAATAATTTAATAATTATGCTTGATACATCTTAAAAAAAATATCTTGATCAAGCACGAATCTCAAGGCAAAATCAGGTTGGAAGCTTCAAAAATTAAATATGGGACCATCTGAACTTTGATTTTAGCAAACTTACAATCTAACTGAGTGTCTCGAAAACACGAACCCAACTACACCAGATTCAAGTCAATCCGAGCCCAAAATAGTTCAAATCAAAGACCCGAAGCACATTTAGAATGTTCAATTTATAATTTGGATTACCAAACAGTTTTCAAATATGGCATGTTTATAATCGAATCGAGCGGATAAACGAGACGAATCCAACGAGCCTAAGATCGTCAAATTCTGATATCTTTGGAGCCTTCAAGTGCCTGATAAACGATTCATGATCAAGGGATTCAACATTGGCCGTCCATTCAAACAACTCCAAATTTACCCCCGATCTTCCTCCTATTTACTAGTCATACCATTCTCAGAAAACTATAAATAGCCCCTCATTTCTCTTAAAAGGGGACCCAAGCAAGAAGAGAGGAGAAGAGGAGAAGAGAAGAAGAGAGGAGAAGAAAAAAAGAGAAGTAGGGAGGGAAGAGAAGGAAGAAGCTCCTTCTCGACCACCATCGGAGTTCCTCCTGACTTTTAAGTGACGCTGGAGTTCCAGAGTTTCGCCCGACTTAATTTCAAGTGACGCCGGAGTTCCACCCGACTTTCAAGTGACCCGGAATTCCGTCTGACCACCAAGTGACGCTAAAGTTCCTCCTGACTTTCAAGTAACGCGGGAGTTCCGTCCGACTTCAAAGTGATGTCTAAGTTCCGTCGGACCTCCAAGTGCGCCAGAGTTCCTCCCGACTTCCAAGTAACGTTAGAACTCTGTCCGATAAACAACATACACCAATTTTCTGACACCAACATTCTGATATCAGTTTGCAACTGAATTTCAATTCGGAAGTTAATTATTGTAATATGATCGTCCTAAATTTTAAGGACGATGCAGCTTCTTGTAATTTAAACAAATACTAGTGTAATTCTTCCAGCTAAGCGTGGCCCTATGGTTTTTCCCTTTTAAGGCATTTCCACGTAAAAAATCTTGTATTTTATTTCTCTTTTGTTTGTGTGCTGGATATCCGTACAATAGTGAGATGAAAAATTCTAACTTTGTCGCCACATATATTCTAGCCAGCAACAAAGCTAATTTCAAATTAAATTATTTATCATTATAAATTTTTGAATATAATTAAAATTAAAATTAATAATTAACTTGTATTTAACATGTTATTAAATTCATAGCGGATCAATTTAAAATTTTAATTATAAATTTTATTTTTAATTTTTAATTAACTTTTTCACATTTAAATCTATAACTATCATAAATCCTAAAATATGTTACTAAATAGTTTCTCATGATTTAATATTTGTCATACCAAACAATTTTCAGGATTTAGGACCCTCAAGATTTACTAAATTTGGATTTATAGGATTTAGTAAATCCCACTTGTTGCCAAACAGCCCCTTAGGGGTTTTGGTTGACAAATTTATATTGCATTTTGCGAGGTTATTTTGATCCGAGAAGTCTCTAGTCATCTATGGTGGGTCTCGCTTCTCCATTATCTTTAAAATCTTAAAAATAAAAGTTTGAGAACATGCTTTCAAAATTTTCGTCGAGATTTTGAGAGTAATAGTAACATGCCACATGCGAAAAGCAACTCCTTAGGCTATCTTCCATGTTAGTTTCTTCAGTTTATCCTTTGGTGAGAGCCCTATGCTAGGATTTTTTGCAAACTATAACCGCCTTATTCCCTCTCTACCCTCCTTACTCAAGAGATTCTCCTGTTTGTCTCTTACTTTTTTTTTTTGAGATGGCTATAATTTCATTGGTTGATTTTTCTCCTCTCATATCTCTTAACTTTAGCTCTCAAGCAAATCCTTCATCTTCTTCTTCCTCTGTTGATCCTCTTTCATTGAACTGGAAAGGACTTCTCACTGAACGCAATCTCTCTATTAAGAACTTTCACCTTTCATATATCCCGTCTCAAGATAATATAGTTCAATTCTCTAATGATGAAATCACGGATGGATCTAAGGAGTGGGAACTTTTACTTGTAGGCTACATAATTAGAAAAAGGCTCTATTATGAGTCTCTTTTAGCTTCAATAAAAAAAACTTCGATCTTTAAAGGTATGTTAACTTTGATCTCTTTGAGCGAGGATTTTTTTTTTTTGCTTAAATTTTTTGTTCATGATGATTATGAAAAGGTTTAAACTGGTAGTCCTTGATTTTTTTTTCTTGCCAAGTTGTTTATTTTGTAAAAATGGCCCCCCATATAGACCTAGGCGTGAGGTATTAAAACTCGTACCTTTCTGGATTAAGATCCACGACATTCCCATCCCCTGTTGGATCCCCGAAGGTATCTCAAAATTTGCTAGTGTTATATGTACTCCCCTTGTTGTCGACGCTTTAACTACCATGAAAACTCGTTTAACATTTGCCAGAGTGCATTCAGGTTCAAAATAATGCTACCTTGCCTGATAAGATTCACATCTTCATTAGGGAGAAAAATATTATCTTGAGGGTTCAATATGACTAGAAACATATATTGTGCTCTAGTTGTGGTTCTTTGGCTCATCCCCAAAATCTTTGTTATATTCATCATGTGAAAGAATTTTCTATTTATAGGCCTAAAGGAAGAGCACTAATAGAAAACCTTGTAAACAGCTCCCTCAAATTATAATCCCAAAACAACCTCCCCTCCCCAACCTCTCTCCATCAAAAGCCACAACCTATGATTTCTAACCCACCTGTAGACCACCCCCCCCGGTTGCTCATTCACCTAGACCTGCTACCCTATATTATGATCATATTTAGACCTCTAAGGCTCTGATTGGATTAGATAAACTACATCTTACTAATCTTAATTATCCATCTGATGATATCCTTCTATCTCAGATACTTTCACCTATCAATTTCTCTTTAGCAATTAGTGGGGTGGCTACTAACAACAAGTTCTTAGCTTTGCAGTCGGAAATAGATCATATGAATAAAGATGTTAAAGTTATTGGAGATTCCACTACTTAA